TTAATGCGAATGTTTGGATGGATGGATAGATGTCTGTTTTAAGCTATCTCCAGAACGTCTGCATGGATACAAAACGTAGCATTGAAAAGTACGTAGGATAATTAAGTTGATTTATAATTGCGCGCGGACGGAGTAGAGGGCGACAGCTAGTGGATTCATAAAAGAAAAAACAAAGCATGCTAAATGAATCAGTTTAAAAATAGAAATCCATTAAGATCGCTAACTGCAATAAAAGCTATTTATGTATGAGAAGTGTGAGTGGACAAACACAACACATAAAGGACTAATTAACAGACTTATTTTGTGACGATAAATAACATAGTATTAAAGTTGTAGTAATTTCAATGTGATTGTAATTATATAAATGTAACATCAAGTATATAAGCAAGTATATATATGCTATTTCTTTCAGTCGTGTTGTCAACACTATCGCAAATATTTCATCTAACTTAGAAAGAGATAGACATTGCTCGGAAATATACTTCAATGCTCGTCTTCCGCAGAACGACCTTGAAAAGTTCTTGACAATGCTTTTAGTGAGATGATTGATTTACTTTTTAATAGAACCTTTTTGCTTGTATTTCGACAAATCTATTCAATGTGGCAATAAGAAATTGAGGAAATAAATATCTGAATTGGAGTTGAATTTTGAAATAGACTGGGAAATACGTTCGTCTGAGAAAGTTGGCTTTTGCTGGTTTGTATTTCCTTAGTGCTTATCTTTTATAACCGCCTATACTTTGAATTATCATAATATATCCTAGAGGAGTGCAAAATCAGCCAATTAAATAATTTAAATGACTAATTGAATAGTGCCTTAAATGTACTCCCTTACTGCAAAGCTTCAAGGTTGCTTTCTTAGTATCGGTTAAGTTTTCCTTTTACATTTTATTAAGTGTTTAAAAATAATCATTAGGTCAGCATCATAGCCAGTCTTGCGAGATGAATGGATCGCACCCCGGGCCCACAAAAGCGTCAAGTCAAAATAAATTATGCTATAAATAGGTCGGCGCGCGGGTAATGAGTTTGCGATGCTCATTTAAATGTCGGCAGTTTAAAAAGATTTGCAGTGAAAAGAGCTGCCTTTAGGAGACCATCTGGCGAGAAACCTGTTTAAAAGATCTAGCACTAAACTAACCCTTATCTGGCACTTTAATGAGATGTTATTTTGTATAAAAGTAAATTAAAAAATGGCGACGATATTATTAAACTTTGTTTAGTGGTAACAATGATTACTTGATTAATACTTGTGTTTGTACGAAGAGAATATAAAAGTATATTTCATTTGAAATATTTGCAATTAGGTTATAAATTAAGATTATCTCAATTAAATTTATGATAAGAAAGTTCTGTGACCCAATAAGTAATTCCGTTTGTCTTCAACTGTACCAGATTCTGTTTGTTTTATAAAATTATACTTAAGTACATAATAAATTATTTAAAAAATCTTATATAAGAAGAATTTTTACTTTCGTCGTAAGTAAAAGTAGTCTATTTTTTTGGAGAATTTTTTTGGGAAAATCATTTTAGTATTTAGTCCCCTCAGAGAGTTGAGGAAATGGATTTAAATATGCTTCTAGAGAAAAAAAAGAAAATTGTCATCTTGCAGCATGACATGCTGCGATGCTTATTTTAAAATATATTTTTAATTTTCAAGTCATTTAACATTTTTATTTTCAATTTCATGTTGTTTAACATGAAATACGTTATGTAAAATATGCTACGAGAAGTTGTAGCGATCGTAGCAATTTAATTCTAACCTTTTAGCTGCCGTATACAAACAAATTGGGGATAGTGTGGGTTCGTTAGTGGCATTGTGTCATAAAATCGATGGCGCTAACCGGGATTTGGGGTCGTTGTGTTAGCGTCCTTGAAAAAGATTATATATCATTTGGAATTGTTTTAAGATTTTAATTTCCAACATGAAATTACTAATATGACATATTTACATTGCTAGACAAGACTCGAAGGATATATAAAGTTTTATTTACAATAACGAATAAAGCGATTTGAGTCATCGTACCTCGTGCACACAGCAGTGGACTAGAATAAGCTGCGTCAGTGTTTCCATCCATAAGGGTGCCTACAAGAGTAGGATGAATAGGTATGACCTTCGACCACATCACCACTTACCATAACCTTATGGTGGATTTGTTGTCATGCATTAGCTTATTCTTAAAAAAAAATTCTTTCTACCTGAATAAGTCAATAATATATGCTTTTCGGTTGTATCCGATAGGACCAATCTTGATATCATCAGACATCATTCTTTGGACTAGTTTTCTAGAATTCTTCATGCAATATGACCTTGAGTATGGCGGGGGTCACAAAATTACGCAGTAAGGTCTCAAATGTTTAGATTACCGTATTTATTCTACAATTGTATAAAGTTGAATTAATTAATTACCATTCGATTCAAGTGTATTTATAAAATCATGAGTGAATTTGTGTGCATGTGATCATAATTTTACTAAACAAACTTTGTTTAATTGCTTAACATTGTTACATATAATGATTACAATCGACATGCTATAATATTGTTATTTTCATTAAACAAGTTAACGCATTAGGTTTTAACAGTTTTGACAAAGAGTATTTTGTCAAAGAGTATGTTACTTGTAAATAATTTGTGACTAGATGAAGGATGATTTCTCTATGAAGAGGTTTTAAGTAAAAGCATTTTATCAGTTTCAAGCTAAACGTTTTGTGTCCCTTAACGGTGAAAAATTGGGTTCTTTATTGATTATATTTCATTATAATTCCTTTTTGTGTGATAAGGTACCTATTTTAGATAATTCGCGAAGCTTTTCCAATCTGAAGAACATCGTAAAATTACCATAGTATCGTAGAACGCTTGTAAAATTTACGTTCGAAAGAATAAGTTAGGAATTCAAAAGAATTTATTTTTAAATGTACTGATTATTTACTGTTTATGTATATTTTATATTATTCGTGTAGAATGAAAATACATGTTTTGGTAGTACATCGTATAAAGATACTCACCTAGTTTACGATGAGTTACGCAAGACGTAACTATATCAGCCTGTCCATTCAATTTTAATATATCTATCGTTCACACATTATGCAAAATATATACATTTGTACAACAATTAAGCCTTTTATAAAAACACGATTCGTTACATCACAGCACTGAAGTCGATTTAACAAAGCAATTTATTAATCGATTAAAAATGTTCACGATTTATTTTATTTAATACTGGCCACTAACACTGCCACTGAACTATTGACTTTAATTTTTCTCTAAAAATCGGTAAAGCGTGTTTTTTTTCTCGGTGTGTAGCGAAGGCGCGTGTGTCAGTCGAGCGCAGGGCGGGCGGCAGGGCGGTGCGCGGAGTACGCGCACGCGCGGTCTCTACTCTCCATACAGGGATGTACTTCGGAATGGCAATATAATTACCGTTTAATTCATGATTGATTTAAATGTAGGGTAAAGAAGCCCTTGCTGTTTTATTCATAGTAACACACAACGTGTTCTGGTATGCGATAAATGGATATTGCTCAATAGAACAGTGGCAAAATTTTACTACGTTTTATTTACAAACCAGATATAATCTGGTTATTTACTGTTTCCCTTTTACTAGTGTAAGTAATAGTGATATGTAGATGTAGTAATATCATCTCTTACTAATCTACGATTATCCAACCAAATCAACACTTATTCAAATTTCTGTCTCTAAGTCGGGCCGGCCCTGTTTCATGAAAATTGCGAAGGCTACATCTACTAGGCGAGGATATTCGAATTACGCCGAAGTCTCCCGACCCGACCTGTCTGAATTTCTCGTCCAATTTATGTTGAGCCTGCACCCCTCCGGAACTCACCTGAGTTGGACGCAAACAGTTAAGTAAACCGCCGTGAAAGAGGTCTTTTTATTCTGGACGTGTCACACTGGGCATGCGCTGAGAAGATGTCGATGGGTGCACAAAATTGAGATGTATGATAAGTTGCTTAGAGTGCTAACATTAACAGGCAAAAAACGCAAAGCTTCGTAGATGTGCTTTTTTAATAATAGCAATTAAAAGTTAATTTATTTTAAAATCTGAATTTATGAAAAATGTTAGAGGGGTAAATAAAAAAAAGGTCTTGACAGGCAGACGGACGGACAACAAAGTGATCCTATAAGGGTTCCGATTTTTCCTCTGAGGTACGGAAATCTAATTAACTAAGTAATCAAAATATCTAATGTCTTAATCTTCAGAACTATTAAGAATTTCCGTTTCTCTACGAGATGAATTACGAATTTTGTATACTAAAAGGCGTTTGGATCAAATTCTACGAAAATAAAGTTATACCTATCTGTTACAGATTTATAGTGATTTTCTAAGACCAAAATATCCGTTTAAATCTTAATGTTAATTCACTGTCAAAGGCAATGAGAGTGATGGCGATATTTTTTATACAGAGATGTTGGTATCAGAAACCAAAGGTTAATCATGACCATCATTAATAACCAATACTATTATATGTTAGGTTTTCATAGTAATTTTGAGCAAAAGGCAAGGTTCTAGTGATTGGATAATGATAACGTGTATCTAAAAATAACTGTTACTAACTTAACATAACTATAATGTACCGTTGCCAGAAAAGTTTAGGATTGCGTGTACAAGACGACCTTTGGACCTCTGCCAATTCTACCTTCTGACCTGCTGTTTGTCGGACAAGGCTGAGCCTTCCGGAGTTATGTAATGAACTTTTACTCTCCGTTGAACCAATATACTACCAGCTCAAATGTTTATGTTAACTGGAAAAATAAATCGGATTTAGATTATATTGTGTGGTGTATATGACTTTAATCGAGAGAGCAGCAAACAAGCAAGCACGTAACCCAGTGTTTAGTGATCGTTACCTATGGATATCTATAATAATAAAATGTGTATCAGACCTGTAAAATAATTAAGCCATATTGTATTGTAACACTGTTTTCTTTTTATTATAATAATTAACACAAATTTTTAATTAAAGTTTTATTTTGTAGCAAGTTTTTTATTATCACGGAAATAAGTATGTTTAATTTTTATTTCAACATAGCTTCTGTACAGTTTTATAGATTTCTTAAAAACTTTGACATTTCTTTGTTAAAGTTTCCTCTGACGTTGAAACAGCGAATTCGTAAGAAGAATTTTTAATAGAAATGTTATATGGCTTCAGGTTTTCGTTGCCAATCATTGTGGTAAATCTGAAACAATTAAATTAATATTTTAACTTTCCTTAGTAATATTAAGAACTTATTTTATTGGTAAATATGAGTCGCTTAGTGTTTACTTAAAAAGCTGCTAAGTGTAGATTGCTTATAAGTCAACAGTACAGGATTGAATGGGGAGGCCTACGTTCAGCAGTGGATGAGTTACGCTGACAATGATGAAAGAATTGTGGAAGGAAGGTGCAAGGGAAGTGAAAGGCTTTGGAAAAGGTCTATATCCATCAATGAGCAGGCAAAGCAAAAATCACGACGATGGCCATAACGATGAAAATGAAGATGACGATGATGATGATGATGACGATGATAAGATAAATGAAACCTTAACTCTGATAACAGCACCAAGAGATTACATTAATGTAAAATTAGTAATAGAAGTAATAGAACTTAAAATCATATTAGTATTCAACGACCTTGCTATTATAATACCTAATTTTTAATGAATGAGAAATAGTTAATCTTAAATTTTGTTAAACAATAAAAAAAACTATAAGTTTAAACTTACGATAAGTGTTACTTTGGATATGATCTATGATTTTTTGATATATACAATAGCCTGCGTATGATACCAATGCGATTGAAGCAACGCTTCCAACAGCTATCAAAACATTCGTAGTAGTCGATGGAGTATTGCCAAGATTCTCTGGTGTTGAAGGACTTGGGTTTAGATCTACCGTTGTTCTTTTTTTCTGACACGACGTCACAACATCACCGCAAGAAAGTTCCAAATAATTATTTAACGGGTACACCTCTGCACAGTCGTTGCCAATCAAACTTGATATGTTCCAGTTTTTTAAATATCTGAAATAAAATTAAGTTGCTTATTAATTTATAGACTGATGCAATGACCCAATATGAACTTCGTCAGTTTATGATCGTACTTAGTGTGAATTTAGAAATGACATTTATCATGTTAAGGCCAACCTCTTTACTTGACGAAGATCGTTATTTGATTTTAGAATTTTATATTGTACATTTATCCGACTTTCTTACGATGAAGGAAAACATCGTGATGCTTCTTGCACATATCTACTCGTAACATGAATTCGAAGATATGTGTGAATTTAACCCGTACTGGTCCAGCGTGGTTGACTATTGCCTAGTCACCCCTAACTTGGGTAGTTTCCGAGCCCCTTTGCAGGGACGTATTTGTCCTAATTTTGAAGATCCAATACTTACTTGTATATTGGCACTGGGTTAATTATTGTTATTGGCCCTAGGTCGTGGCATGTAGTTTCTTCAAATGCCGTATAAAACTCTCTTTCTTCAATTTTCCGTTCCTTAGTCTCATAAATGACCGTGGTGTCCTAAAAAAATTGACACTTTATAATAGTTACAAAAGAAACGCTTTGTTTTAAGGGAGGGCAATACTATTTTACAAGTTTCGACTGAAAAACCACATTGCACTGATGAAATGACAGTTTTTGTTTGGTTCCCGTTTAACCGCGCCTTTTGATGTTACGTGACAGTTAATTCTACCTATATCACTAGTTCAAATCCACGCCACCGTTACAAACCGCTACCATCAACGCCGAAATTGTGAAAATCAAATAGGCACAAAACAACACGTCCTATAGCCAGTCCATTTATGGATGTCAGAGTATTTATATTGTCATTTGTTCTAGTATAACTATCCCATTGAAGCGATGGAAAACGAATATTGTCATACCTCTTTTATTCCATCCGTCTCTTTCTCATTATATTCCGTAGTCGGCGTATATTCCGTCGTCGATGTATATTCCGTAGTCGGTGTATATTCCGTAGTCGGTGTATGTTCTGAAGTCGGTGTAGTTTCTGTATATTTTGTGTATTCTCTGACTGTCGTGTCCGAAGTTGTCTTAAACATAACACAATTTTTAATTATAAAAACACATTTACATATCTTTGAAAATAATATTACAACATTGAGTCAAGACATTTTACTGGAGTTTAAGTTCACTGACCTCTGTTTCATGTATTGTGGTTTCTGTCGTTTCCACTGTACTTGTTGCTATCCTTTCGCAACTTGTTTCTATGACGTCACAGGAGAGTTGAAGATAGCAGTTTTCTTGTGGTAAAGTATCAGTGCAGTCGTCGAAAGGTATTTCATATTTTGACAACGTTTTGAAAGTAATTGGGTCACTAAAAAAACTGTATTATTTGTGACCTATTTTTAATGATCACAAAAACCAGTAAGGTTAATGTGAAGGTATTGAAAGAGAGAAGATTTGTGTAGTGATCGTGAAATATATTGTCATCACTTTCATTTTCTTTGAACAGAACAAAGATAACAATATATCGAAATACAAGCGTTGTTGCAGTAATCATTTGGCAATTAAAATAATACTTGATTATTTATTTTTTTAACAAAAAAATATTAACACAATTAAGTCGTAAATATGTAAATACTAAATTATGTAATTACTAGCAATCGCCCGCGATTCCGTCCTCGCGAAATTAAAAAAAAATAATCCGTAGCCTATGTGTTCCTCCAGACTATATTCTACACCTATGCCAAATTTCAGCGAGATCCATTCAGCCGTTCTCGAGATACCTATAAACAAACATCTATCCATCCAAACACTTATAATATAAGTAAGATATGTACTTACATTCCAGGTTTAAAGGTGTGGTTAGCAGCATCACACGATCTTTCTTCAAGGATTGTATAAAAATCTGTGCATTCTAAAGAACAAACAGCTTTTTGTATAACCTAGAATGAACATAAAAAACAATTGTTTTATCAAATTTGAAAAGACACGCGGATATTAAACATTAAATTAACTCGTTTGTTTATAATATAACGATAACTATTTGATTGAATATACCATTATCAACACTATTGTATAAATAATAGACATTATTTTCGTATAGCTCTCTACAGCACTTATTTTACGTCGTAAGATAAAACGACTAAACAGTATTACAATGCAATGTATTATGGTAAAACAGATTGAAAATCTCTTCACAGAATAACTAAAATATATTAACAAGTCCAATATCCTTGTGTTTTTCCTTATTTATTAATAATTGTGTATAGAATGATGTATAATAATACTCATTTTTAATCAAAGAATTAGTGACAATTAAATTCAATAATTTAAGACATCCTATATTATATTTTTTTATAAAATAAGAAGTCAAAGCGGCGGGGATACCAAGATGATTATCAACGCTCATAGTCAACCACAACACCACAGGTACTGTAGATGCTTTGCCGGCCTTTTATAAAGAGACTCGCTGCTTAAATCTTAGGTCGTACTAAGTTCTACTTAACTCTATGTTCTTTTTGATTGATCGGCTTTGAAAGATCTTGTTAAGCATTACAGGGCATTGTGGCAATCGGTATGTACGTTCAGCAGTAGACGAAATTAGGCTGATAGTGATGATGATGATGATGAAGAGTTACGACTATTTTTAATCAATTTATACAGTTACGTATTTGCACAGAATATTTTGGATATAAATTTACGAATGTTCCGTCAAACAGCGTCCGTATCATTTACGCTCGATGTGTGCCGTTTAGATTCCATGTTCGTGCTTTCTGTGTGTAATCGTCTGTCCGTTTGTTTGTTTATATTAGTTTTATGTTTTCAACAGATGTCAAATGAATGAACAAACTTTGTAAATTGCTTTAAGTAAGTACACATTAAATTGCATCATACATTTTGCGTTAAAATTGAATTTTTACCCAATAACTTTACATTTCTTTTTAATCCTCATTAAACCAGCTAAAATTGAGCTTCGTTAATATTATCATAAAGTACACAATGGCAAAATTATCGCATATTAATCGAACAATGTTACACATATCTACTTGCAATCGCAACTTTGATTTATGCGAGAAAGATACTTTTTTTATATCGAATTTATTATGAATCCTTCAAACACTTAAGTGAGCTATAAATGTAGATTGTAATTTTCTTTTACACTACACCATACTGATAAATAGATAGAAAATGTTAAAATAATAAAATTACGCGTCATACAAAAGTTCGGTAGACGCGTCCAAATCTAGGAATGACAACTCAATTTTCAGTTAACACTAATGGACGCTAATTCACAAGAAAGGATTACCGATATAATTCATTAATATGTATAAAATACTAAGTATTTTAAGGTAATTAATTAATTAGGCTAGTTGTTAAAAAAGCTGAACAAGAAATGAAATAATTAAATGCAGATGTGCTTTGTCACCCGTACGAAATCGGGGCGGGATGTTAGTTTACTGATATGGTTGGCTAGTACTTGGCCGATAACCCATCACAATGTCCCGGCCTTTCATACAAATCGGTTGCGTTTGAACGTCATCGCATTTCTCCAGACGCGGTAGTTCGCGTAATGAGTGTGCGTTGAAATCTTTTCAAGATGTTTACGAAGTTTATTTTTATGTATTTTTTTGTTTGCTGCTTGGATGTGTTTTGTGCTGATGCATTACAATCTGGGGATCCCGGTGTATGTATTGTTCAAACCAGGTCGGTTTATAGATTTTTTTATTATATCTTACTATTGTTTAATGATGTAGTGCCTGTTCAAGTTATAGGTTTTTAGTTTTTTTATTTACAACTAGCTGTCGCCCGGGACTCCGTCCGCGCGGAATTAAAAAGTACTTAATAATTAACCCATGCGTTCTTCTAAACTATGTTCCACATATCTGCCAATTTTGATCAAGATCCGTTGAGCTGTTCCGCAGATACTTTCAAACAAACATCCATCTAAACATTCGAATTTTTAATATTAGTAAGACGTAAGATTTGTAAATTGCTAAAACATTTTGTTTTCGTCTTACTATAATATTAACATTAAATATGAAAATTACGACTGCGAAGTACACGTTAAGTTTGATTTATCCTGTGAATAATCGTAAGAAAAACTTAGCTTTCGATCTCTTTTGGTTCCACTTCTGATTTTTTTTGATATTTGAACATGCTGTATGTTTAGAGGAAAGTGTGTTTATTCATGAATAATATGTTATCTTTATGTGTCTACAATTCTAAAACAAAAGTTTAAAGATATAATCATTTATATATATTAAATAAAATTATTTATTTTGAATATTTCAGCTATCAAAATTTGAGATGGAAGACATTTAATGTGGCGCTTCAAAAATGGTGTGGCAGAAGGAGATGTGTCGAGAAGAAAAGGAGACGAGAAGTGAGTTTGAATTATACATTTAGTTTTATTAATGTATATTTCAGCATGATGTCATTGCTGATTTTTTTTTAATTAAAAAATATTGAGACGTTAGTAGTAAACATGCTGGATATAAAACAAAAAAAAATAATTAGGAGCATATACGTTTGTCCACCCTATGTCTACATCTATGCCGAATTTCAGCGAGATCCATGCAGTCGTTCTGGAGATACCTTCAAACAAACATCCATCCAAACATTCGCATTTATAATATTAGTTGGATTAGTAAGAAGTAAGATATGTTGTTTGTTATTAGTATGTTAAGTAAAGAAAAACATACAATCTGATATTCTTCATTTGTATACTTTTCCTCTTTGACTTTGTCGCTTTTAATAAATGTGCAATAATCATAAACTTAATGCAAGTAGCGAAGAAGAGAGGACGTTGGTATCGGAGATGCGATGGGGACGTGCTCAGGAAACTGACTAAAGCTGTATACACATAACCGGAACCCCCTACGCGACTGGAATTAACATTACTAATCAGATGTCGGGAACATAGGACAGGTTTAGAATAACGAGTTAATGCCCTTTTCGATTTACTATTGTTAAGGCCACTGTGACTTGATAGACGATTGTGATGATGTTAAATGCAAAGCTTCATTTAAATATATTGTGTATGTTTTTGTAACTTTTAAAAAGTCACTGGAATGCATTATTCAATAAACCATAGACAAGGACAATGATATTTTTAGTGAAACTGGCTGGTGATGAATTAGTTTCTTTAGTATTTATTCTAAAGCTAGTGATGTTCAAGTTAAAACTCAAGCACTATTGCAATAGCTTCATAGTAATAAAGAGTTAATCTTGTAATAAAGAGCTATATTGATGACGGATGGTACTGACATTATTAAACTGACTTCTATTCTGATAGTTAAATATATTAAATAAGCTCATGCCAAATTGACCCTTGGATGTTATTTTCCAGACGTACATGTTGACAAGGAACCAGGCGGTGTGCTGCAAGGGCTGGGGCTACCGAAGCGAGGACGACAGCTGCGCCCCCCTATGCAGCACCGGCTGTCTCGGCGGCCGTTGCGTTGCGCCCGACCGCTGTCACTGCGACCCGCCAGCGCACCTCGACCCCGTGCGCGGCAACGTCTGCCTGCTGCCTGTCTGCGACCCGCCTTGCTTCAACGCCAACTGTGTTGCCAACAACACCTGCGAATGCGAACCTACCTACGTCAGGCACAACGCTACGCACTGTTACCGCTGCGACCCAGGATATGCCGTTGATGAAGACTTTAACTGCGCCCCCGTGTGCGACCGACCTTGCGCCAACGGACAATGCATCGGACCAAACATCTGTGGGTGCTCCTCCGGTTATACGGTTAAGGACACGTTTACATGTGAACCGGTTTGTGAAAACGCTTGCGTTAATTCAGTTTGTACCGCTCCAAATGTTTGCACATGTTTGGAGGGTTATACTGAAGTTAACAGTACTTGCGTTCCGCACTGTGACTCTTGTGATCATGGCCAATGTGTTAGACCAAATGTTTGTGTTTGCGATGCCGGGTACACAAATGGGAGCAGCGGTTGTGTGCCAGCGTGTGACCAGACTTGTGTGAACGGGGTGTGCTCGGCGCCGAATGTGTGTTCCTGTATGGAGGGTTACGTCAAAGACGATGACTTCAGATGTGTGACACCGTGCCCCAAGGAGTGTCCGGGCGGCTGCGACGACGAAGGAACATGTCTCGACTGCAGCGTGCCATTTAGGTATGTGTCTAACACGTATTTTATTTTCCTAAGGCTTTAATCTCTACACTTTATCTTACCACTAATTTGTGATTAAAAAAACGAAAGAACAGAACAGAATGCATGGCTTGTTTAAAAAAAAAAAACGTAAATGTTCCTGTGGTTTAAAATTTAGCATCCTTTGTGTGATAACCTTAAATAAGTGTATGAGCAAGAAATGCCAGAACAACGTCATAATTTCAACTACTTGTAATATTTTCTTATTCATAAGACAAGTCAGTTTCTGAATGCGCTAGGACCTTTAACTGCAGCAAGTTGTGCGTTGAAATTGGTAGTCTGTCATTGACATTGTTTGGTCCGTCGATGCTCAGTGGGTACGTGCGATACAATGCGATTGCGTGGGCAACGGAAAGCGAATTGTCCCTACATTGATAGCGCCAGTGTAGGACGCGGTACACTCTCTTGCAATATAACTCATCCGCTCACTAAAGACCCTATCTATCTTTAAAATTGTTCACATATTCTTTAAAAATGTTTATTAAACAATTTTAAATGTTTTAATTTTGCAATAGAATGGTTAATATTGCGGGATTTTAAATATTAAGATAAAAGATTACATCCATTTTCAGTTCAGTTTTTTGTGGTAAACAGAAGCGTAACTAAAAACGCATTTACCAATACATGATTTAAACAATTTCTCTAATTTATTAAGTAGGTAAATTATGTTTGAGGAAATAAACATTAATCCTACGTTAACACAGGCTTATGTTAGAAATTAATATACTTATTTTTAAACAAATAAACTTAACATTAATTATAATTTATTAAAAATGATTAACGCAAATATTAATTAATTAAAATCTTTATAATTCTATATTTCTTCAATTTTCTTGACATTCACATAATCTCTCCGTGGTACTACTTATTGTTGCACGGAGTGTACATTCTGAGTTATCATGCTCTTGCGCATCGTCTCCGTGACGCAAAACGAATGAATGATCGATGTGAGTGCTTGTCGGCCAATTGTACGACAAAACAGAATATAATTATGATAATACGACGGGTTATTTTTAACAATGAATTGATTTTGCAAACTTGTAGGCATTTTCATTGCATATAAGAGTACAGTCAGCTGCATAAATATGTCATTACAAAGCTGCAAAATTAAAATACGTTTTCCGTTTCAAAAGTATGAACGTATGTTTCCGTATGTTTCCTACTATGATAACATGTTATTGATGAATTCGTACGCACCTAATTTTAATACCGATCTAGACAAGTTTCTAAAAGTATATACATATTAATGCAGCTGACTGTACAACAAAGTTATAAGGTCTTGAGAAAGATATATTGTTTAAAACAAAAATTTGCAATTAAAAACTTAGTCATTAAAATGAATTTAGTATTAAAATGGAAAGATTTATATTTGGCTTCTCTACCATCTCTCATATCTTCGATTTGCGTTGCTTTGGGTTCTTTGAATTAACCTTTTTAGTATGTCACTGTTCTAATTATTCGACAATACTAAAGTTTCCTAGTTCTAGTTAGAATTGTAGTGCAATAAACAGGATGTGCATGCTTCTACAAAGTTCTATGATGGAATTATTTGTTCGCTAAATGGGAAATAACATATTTTGATACGTTGATTGACGTTTGTTTGTTTATTGCACATTATGAAATGTATTTTCCTTTGCAAAGCTTATTTACGAAAATATTCCTATACTTCCTTTATTGCAAACTTAAATTAAATAGTTATTAATGTTTAAAAACATTGTAAATCTTTTTGAACATAAATGTTAAGAAGGATGAATGGATGGATGTTTGTTTGTTGTTACCTCCGGGACGACTCAACGGATATTGATGAAACTCGGCACAGATGTAGAAAATATTCTGGAAGAACACATAGACTATATTTTTATTTTTTATATGAATTGGCCGATGGCTAATTAGTTTTAGTTACATTAAAAACCTTGCAAAACAATGACGTCACGTAGCTATAATTATTAAACTTTTAATTGGCTTTATCATAAATTCACTTATTATTGTTTCTCGTTTAGAGGATAAAATAATTTATTCCATAGCCGTTTACAATTGTAGCATGAATAGCGTAATGGTTAAAGGTACGGATTTCCGATCACGTGGTCGGGATTTCGATTCCCGCCATTCGATAATTGTCGTAAACCATGACTAATCATAGAGTTTAGTTTGAATTCTACAATAAATATTAGTATATTAACAAAAATCTGCTATACAATTATAAATTATAAAAAATTAAACGGCATTAGTGAATTATTATTATTAATTTTTTAAATATTTGCCTTTGTCAATTTACAAATATTTCTTTTTTTAATTCCGCGCGGACGGAGTCGCGGGCTACTGCTACTTCTTCGTGATACAGGTTTGTGCAATTATTTATTATAAGTGCAAAAATGTTTTCAGTTTTTTTTATATATCCGCATTCATAGCTAGAAAGTTTAGATGTTGGCGCCATTGTCATAAACAGCAAGTTAAAACGTCTGCATTATAATTCGCTAATCAACGATTTGACATTCAATAGACGTGTTAGTACGGTACATTTTTTTGCACAACCAAATTAAGAAGCTTTTATTAAGGCGACCTCACATTGATCACTGAAGCGCAACACTGTTACGCTTCAGTGCGAAAATGTTTGTTCAAAGAAATCAGACTGATCATAATGTTCGAGGTAAAAGAATTTGAATTTAGAAAAAGGCATTGTTGCAATCATTTTACAGTATTTTAAGTACCATATAGTAGCACATATATAAGAATAGATTACTTGAGCGAAGCGTATTTCGCATGTACTATACATTCGTTATGCGTCGTATCGTGTGAATACACCTTAATATTTCGCATAGTACGCGTGTTCAGAATAGTAGTCGTAGTCCACATCTCGCGTGTCCAGTGTACTATCTGTCGCCGGATGTCTATAAAGCTGTCCAGTCTGATAGAGTCATTGTTCTTGCGCACAGTGTAACTACCATATACACCGATCATTTCCTGACATTTTTATGTCACCGTAAACATAAGAACATATTATTATTTTACAGTTGGTCTATGAAAAATAAATTTAATTTTAAGAGCGTAATGTTGATAAAGTACGTACGTTGAAAAGTACTATAGGTAGTTAATTTATTAGATGCTTTAAATATGTACAAAAATAATTATTGACGTAAAAACGTAGATGAGTTAAGAATTGGCTAAGAGTCAATTTGTAAGACGTATATTCACACAAAAAGAAACTTTTCCCATACTGTGCTTTTTAGTTGCCAGGCCCTTTGGTAACGTTTAAAAATAATTTACAAGAGTATTGAAAGTTTTTGTATAACGAACAGGTAGATAAAAAAGTGCATAAATTAGACTATGACTATGAAATTAATGTAAAATTTCCAATCTTTCTAGCTTAAAAGTAAATAAAATTATAATAATGTAATGACGTATCATCATTACAGTAAGTATTATTAGTTTTAATTATAATTTATGCTTTCAAATTAAAGTTTAAATTATTTATTTGAAAGCTCTGGTTTATTGTTACTCTGTGCATAATCGCGATATCACGCGTAGGTCAATTAAAAAGTACAGCGTACTTATGATCCGACGTATTTAATTGCAGATGCATTGTAGAGTTGTCCCTGTATTGTTGGCTCCTTAATTATAAATATAGTATTCAACCCATACATTGGTCGTTAAGTTTTTAAACGACTGTGTATCGGTTGGGATATCGTTAGTCGTAGTGACGTGCTCGTGGCAATCGTTCGCGTTGTCACATCGATATATTTATTTGCGAATAATCGTATGGAATATTTTCGAACGCATTGTGAAGCCACTTCCTTCGATAACGTATCGCTGGATGTAGCCAATACTGGATGATATAAGCCATTACAAAATAAACGTCCGTTAAACAATTGTGGAAATCAAAATGAGAACATTTAATGTGTTGTTAATTTTATTTGTGCTTTACGAAACTGGAGTTTGTTTGAATAAGGGAGATGTTGGTGTTTGCGTTAAGACAATGTAAGTTTTTTGGTATTGATCGCTTTACATTTCAACGAGGACACATTTTGTGATTGGTTTTATGCAAGTTTTCGACCCCATGCAGAGATAAACATTTGTGAATTGTTAAAGGTTCAAAAACATTTTCAATTTTTATTCTTAACCCTCACGTTCATTTTGTATAGTATACCATACATACAACTTTATAAATATATACGATCACTATAAAATAATTTTTAACTTTGTTTTTTTTTTCTTTTCTTCAAATAATAAATTTTGCCAAAATAAGGGTTAATTAAAAAGTAGTCTATAATCTCGTATGCATCAGCCACCACCTCGTTTAAGTCCTATCAAAAAGTTCAGCCTTTTCGGTGATTACCGTTCAAACGCGGCCTTGTGGACAGATATACAAAGATGTTTAAAAAAAAATCGTATCAGCAACCCCAAATACATCATGTGTATGAAATATTAAGTTGTTGTTGATTTTGGGTCATCATAACGTAATGTTATAAAATGTATGAACTTAATTAACAATATCCTTAGTAACTGGAGGAAAATAGGCTTACATAATGTCTTATATTAAAAGAGTCGTTCAACTAAATTTGAGTTTCACTGTGATCTAGCGCTTTAACGACTGCATTGCTATTAGAAAGCGAAGTGTTACTAATATTATAAATGCGAATGTTTAGATGGATGGATGTTTGTTTTTAGATATATACAAAACGGCTGAACGAATCCGGCTGAAATTTGGCATAGACGTAGAACATAGTTAAGAAGAGCACATAGGCTACTAATTAAGTTTTTTTTAATTGGGCGCGGAAGGAGTCGAGGGCGACAGCTAGTGTATAATAAATTTTTAAAGTTATTTCATTTTTGTTTCAGGCTGGTCAGTAGAAGAACGCCACGAGAAAGAGTGGTAAGATAATTGTTAATTATTAATTTATACACAAATAGTTTCTTTTCTGTTGCATTTATTATATTATTTTTTTAGTATTAGATAACAATTTTTGTCGTATCTTTAAAATGTGTTCAATTATTAACAGATGATTGAAATTATTCAAACTTTCGTGAGACATTATACTAAACTGATATATAAACACGGCTAAACACTCACGTATATTCGTCCGGTGGCGGCAGCGACTAGTTTCGAGCTCCTTCGGGGGCCCTTCATCAGGATTAGTGGTACTGGTATTATTTCGCGGACGCGGCCCGTTGATATGCAAATATTACTAAGAGCGTCGGTGGCTCAGGGGTCAAGCACTTGACTTGCAATCTGCACGTCCTGGGTTCGAATCCCGCCATGTACCAACGTGTTTTTTCGATTTCCGATTTAAATATGTACATTTATCCGATGTTCTTACGGTGAAGGAAAATATCGTGATGCAACCTGCATATGTGAGAAGAAATTCAAAGATATGTGTGAAGTCAACCAACCCGCACTTGGCAAGCGTGGTTGACTATGGCCTAATCACCCTTAACTTAGGCTAGGCTCCGAGCCCCTCGGTGGGGACGTATAGTGAAATGATGATGAAATCTTACTAATATAAAAACGAATGTTGGGATGTATGGATAAATATTAGGTAGAAGGTATCGTCAGAAAGGCTACATTAATCTAAATGAAATTTGGCATATATAGAGCTGGCTATGGTCTGGAGGAATACAGTAGCATTAGGATACAGTCGCGCGGACTAAGTCGCGGGCGACTGTTAGTATGTAATGTATAAATGCACAAAGAACATCCTGTCGATAACTTTATGGGGATAAGTTCGGGACACAGTGTATTTTTTATTATAAACGCGTATGATTCATACAGCATTAAGTGTAGTAGGAACAATCGACCTCTGTACCCACCACAAGTATAGTGAAACGCCGGATAAGTCGAGTCCAAAGGACAAACGCTTAATTAAATTCTTGTTTGTTACAGTACAAATATTTGACAAAAAACACATGTGTTAATTTGGGTCTCGTGTTATTTTTGACGACTGTACACTGTACACAACTGTAGTATACAATTTCGTTGTGACTTGTTTGACCGTTGCCCATAGACATACGCAATTGCATATGCGTTGCCTACCTTTAATCGACGGAGGAGAGGATGCACAGAAAGAAAAAAGATTTTCCCTTTCCACGCATCCTCTCATCCGGAAAGTGCACTTCCACTTCCCATCGTATCCTTATATGAAAAGGGGTGGGGAAGCGAAAGAGGACTATTTTAGGCCCCCGGGACGCACACACATCAGAAACGCGGAATTGCTTCCACTTCACGTATGTCTTCTGTGTGGTCATATATTCTACAATGAAGTGCATAATAATCTTTATTAATAAAATAAGGGACCAAATGAACTGCGGAATATCGCGGTGATCATCCACGTCTATCTGTAATGCTAGAGGAACTTTAGATGCATACTGTCTTGTGATGAATACAATTAGTTGTTTTTAAAAACGACTACGACTTTTTACTTAGTGAAATAGTTTCGACATGCGACATTTTATGTTAAATTTATTTGTATATTGTTTACAATATACTTAACAATGCGATACAAAATCTCAAAACACATTCTTATCACTTTGGTGACACGTATCACCGCAATAGTTTAAAAATAGCACGATATATGTTATATTCATTATACGTTCGTTGGAATTTCGAGGCAAAAGTTAAATTGTAAACATTTACAAAGAGAAAAAGATTTACCTTATCTACCTTTTATATTTTTAAGTACTTAACTAATAATCTGCTTCTTTCCTATTTGTAGATTAAAGAAAAACTGGTGTGCTGTCCAAGCTGGAAGTATGACTCGCGCAGCAATAAATGCCTCTATTACTGTAGATTTGGTTGTGAAAGAGGCAAGTGTGTGGGGCCCGACAAGTGCAGCTGTGACCCGCCCCTGCAGCTGATCGGCCACAAATGCGTGGAACCCGAATGCGACCCACCCTGTCAGCATGGACAATGTCATCCAAATAATACCTGTATATGTGACGCAGATTTCGAGAAAATTAATTCGTCATATTGCGCACCTAAATGCGACCCTGGATATCAACGACAGTGCATCAACGACTCCTGCGATTCCGACGTCGATTCCGATACTTTAATGTGCAAACCGGTATGCGAGCCAAAATGCATTCATGGGGATTGCGTTGCGCCCGGCGTCTGCAAATGTCATGAAGGTTATCAGAATGAAAGCTATACGGAGTGTACGCCGGTGTGCATCGCGTGCGGCAATGGTACTTGTGTAGCTCCCAACAAATGTCAATGCTTCAAAGGTTATTCCCAAGATGAAAGTGGTTCGTGCGTACCTTACTGTGAAACACCATGTGTCAATGGTTTTTGCTCGGCCCCGAACGTTTGCTCCTGTCAACAAAATTATACTTTAGAAAACAACATAACGGTACAAAAATGCATGCCAGTTTGTTCACAACCCTGCGTCAATGGATACTGCGAGTCACCGAATACCTGTGCCTGTGAGCCGGGCTTTGTGAAAATCAACGGGAGCTCAACTATCTGTCGCAAGGAATGCGAAGGGCCGTGTGAAAATGGTGTTTGCACATTATTCGGACATTGCGACTGTAATCAAGATTTTCAATTTGAAAATGGAACCTGTGTTCCTGCAAACATGTACGTTTCTTTGATAATTAAGCTTTTTTCTGGTACCACCATTATCTGATTTTTAAGCACCAAATCTAAATATTAACATGCGAAAGAATCTGATGTTGACATTTTTTTCTTTATTTTTTTAAAGGGCTTACGTTCTTTTGAACATGTCAATCCCACATCAAACTAAGTAATTTAAAATAATTACAACTATTATATTATATTTGCAGTACTAAGTTGGATTGCGAGGCGTGCGGGGGTCACTGTATAGCCGGCGACTGCCGTTGCGATGACGACAGCCCGTGCTCCATGACTGCTGCTGTGGAAACTGCTGAGATCGAGTCCTCCGCTAGGTTTGTACACAATCTAAATAGTAACAAATGACCACATGTCTACGCTACAACCATAACAGGATGTGTTAATGGATTTTGAACTTTGTTTTTTTAATCTTAGTGCAGATATTCAATTGTTTTAAATAAATATTTGTACTTTCAGATTAGCCGGGTTAGAGCTGTCGTGGGTTGTTGGAGGTGCTGTGAGCTTGCTTCTGCTTACTCTAATGATTGCTATCTTCGGACACATGTGGAAAAAGAGAAAGGACTATGGAGTCAAAGCCACTGATAATAATGGTCAGTGTTTAATACCTTTGTAGTGAATTAAATAAAAATAATTAATATAATAGAACATCGGTGGCTTAGGGGTTAAAGAACGATGGGTTCGAGTCCCGCCATGTATCAATGTGTTTTTCGATTTACATATGTACATTTATCCGACGCTACGGTGCAGGAAAACATCGTGATGCAATCTGCCAAATCTGAGAAGAAATTCAAAGATATATGTGAAGTCAACCGGGGTAGCGTGGTTGACCATATCGTAGTCACCCCTAATTTATTGTAGGCTCCGAGCCCCTCAATGGGGACGTATAATGAGCTGATAGTCATGATGATGATGGTGAAGTTGAATTAATGTATATTTAAAAACTATAAAGCGTAATTTTTTTGTAGGTGGTGCTTTCAGTAGTGTGGCATATACTGTACCTGGTACCCTCCTTACTATGGGAGGTGAGAGAAGAGAGGCCAGAGACAATGAGAACGAATATGACGCAGTAAACAACGAAGATCCGAACCGAGCTGCAGCCGAAGCGTTACTCGAAGATAAAACCGTTCGCGATGTATAACATTAAAATATAACTACGGGTTTTCACACTCGAAACTTAACATTTTGTACGTGATATTTAAATGCCGTGGCACTTGCATACTATTGCTATCTCTGTCTTTCTCAAACGGAATGAAAGGGATGGCATTATTAGATGTCCCGACAGTGGAATATCGTGGTTATTACAAATGATAAAACAGAAGAGAGCAAACATTTCAAATTATGTTTCGTTTTAAAAATCAAGTTCCAAATTTAAAATTTTCGAAAAAAAAATTTTTTTTTGAGCTTTAAAATTTTTTTTTGTACTAAATTACAGAAAAAAATGAGTAAATAATTGTATTTTTATTTAGGGTTTTTAAATGCGTGTAGATTTTTATTATTTTAATTTAATAAATATGTGTCCGGCCATAAATTATCAATAGCTACCTATTAACTAATTTTGTAAATATTGATCGCATAATAGTCTTCCAGTCTAGTTGATTTTTTATTATTTTTAAAATTAATTACAAAATAATTTATCTTACAAAAAAAACATAAATTTTTGTAAAAAAAAAATATTAAATTGTCTCAACGAAAAAGTTATTTTTATTTTATATTATAAATTAAAAAATAATGAAACACTTTCCTGATTTTTTTTTGTGTAATTTATTGCATAGATTATAAATAATAATTGGTAAATTAAATTCTAAATTATTATGTTTTTTTAATCATAAGTGTACAGTCACTAATCCTAGGAATTAATCGATTATTAACCTTCAGAAGGCCCTACGAACTTTATTTTACATGAATAAAATAAATATTATTTACTTTGTGATAATTTTAATTGATTTAAAATATTTCTTTTGTAATTCTTTAAAACGAGTAAAGATAATAAATAACTATTTTGATAATAAATGTGTTTTTTAATTACGTCTATTTTTTAATCGATTAATCAATACATTTTTTTTAATAAACATTGTTTTTTTTTTAATTTATTCGAAAAAATATATTCATTAGCTGTTGCCAGTACTGTGGCCAGTACTTTTAATAAAAGGAAAAATTACTCTGTAATACTTTTTGGGCGATTAGTATACCAGTGTGCGTGCGCACACAATGATAACGTTTGTAATAGTAGCACCCGCTCTATTCTCTATTTCTCTATTTAAAAAAAAGTTGCACTAACATTTATCGATTCCCGCCCATTAATCATCACCCCGCTATGTCCGAGCCATTACTATATACAAAACTAGCTGTCGCCCGCGACTCCGTGTGTGAGAATTAATAAAGTTAATTAACTTATGTGTTCTACCAGATTACGTTCTACATCTCTGTCAAATTGCATTAAGATCTGTATTGCCGTTATGGAGATACCTTGTAACAACCTTCCATCCATTTAAATTAGCATTTATAATCTTATATATATAAAAGAAAGTCGTGTTACTTACACTATTTATAACTTAAGAACAGCTTTACCGATATGCCTGAAAATTGGTGAGGAGGTAGCTTAGAGCCAGTTGACTGACGTAGGATGATATTTATTATTTTATTTTTATTTTTTTTGAATTATGCCTTAAAAAGCTACTTTTTATGTAACTTACTAATATTATAAATGCGAATGTTTAGATGGATGTGATGTGGATGGATGGATGTATGTTTGAAGATAACTCTAGAACGGCTGAAGGGATCTCGATTAAATTTGGCATACGTATAGAACATACAGGCTACAAAAAATAAGTTTTTATTAGTTAAAAGTAAGATAACTCGTAGTATTTGGTTTGTAAAAATTATTGTTGTCATTATTTTAGAGGTTTTTTTTTAAATTCAAGTTTTTTATTAACGGCGGGATATAATTTTATAATGTTTTTTTTTTAAATTCAATGCTATAGTGTCCTGTAAAAGGCTTCATATGAACTTATATGACGGGGAATCAACAGTTTATCCTCATTCTAAAACATTACAATATGACATAGTGACATTGTCTTTGAATAAATACGAATTATAAAGCTAAAATAACCCAACTAGTGATGGGAAGTGGAAAAAAACCCAGGTTTTATCCCATTTGGGAAAAAATGTGTTTATAATTTGGTAGAAACCCAATAGATAAGGGTATTTTAATAACTTTTTAATTTTAATTATCACAATCTTAAATTTTTTTTTTTTAGAATAAATACAGTGAAAAATAGGTATTTTGCGATATAGAGCGTATATAGAGCACTAGCCAATTACTATTTTTATCTTATTACAATTGTGCCTCGGATTAAGTGTCTTAGTGCTTTCATATTTCTTGAAACTATGGAAAAATTACGCTTGCAGGACCCACGTTATAAGGTCATAAGTAGTCCGGATTTTTATTATTTTAAATAGATTATTTTAAACATGGGAAAAACTAAGAAAAGTTAACAGAAGCCGGTAGTTGTTAAGCGTTAAAATTCAATAATTAACGTTGTTTCATTGTCAAAGTTAATTTAATTATCAATGTTCTATTTTATACCATTTTCCTTAACCTAAACGACACATAACTGGAATGGTATTTTAACTGTGAAGTTCTCCTGGATTCGGGTGTTTCAAATTTAATAAATACGAAATCTTTTGAATTAAAAAAAAATAAATAAAAAAAATGGACGTAATAGTAGTAGAACCCACAATAACCTCTTTATTATGACTGGCCTTATTCGCTCCGTGTAGTACTACGACCATACAGAAGATAGGCATAAAGTGAAAGCAATTCGCGTTTCGTCTGATGAATGTGAGTGCCGGAGGCATAATTTTAGTCATATTCCTCTTTCCATTCTTTTCTTATAAGGATGCGATGATAAGACGTCTTAAATTTTACAGAGTGGACGCATAGGAAGGCGAAATATCTGATTTTTTGCATTGCCACCTCTTTTAACTAAAGGCAGGCAATGTATCTGCGAATTCAAATGGCCAATTGCTCGTTTGCAGTCTATTGTAAAGAGATATATAAAAAAAATTAAATTGAGATTAACAAAAAGGCGTTATAGCTTTAAAATTTCTTGAAAATGAACTTAATAGTGTAAATACATGAACGAACAAACGGACGGATGTTAAGAGAATTATTATTTGAGTATAAATAATTTCCTTGAAGGTTACAATGGTCATTTGGTTCACAGAGGGCGTGCAGTGAGGAGCGGTTTGTTTTCGAAAATGAAATCCAAGTATCTTATAATTAGTCTATTTTTGTTTGCGGTGAGTTAAAAAATCTTAATTTTGTTAATGTATCCATTATTTGTAATTATAACGTATTAGTGATTCGTGAAGTTCAATTTTCGTAGCAAAATACACTATTGTTATCTTTGTGTTTTAAAAGAAAATGAACGGGATAGTAATATTGTGGTAGAGATGCTGCGAAAGTGGAAACTTTTCATTACGAATTTTCTTTTATTATAATATAATTCTTCCAATTTTAAGCGAAATCTAACTAAGATTTAAGAGTAAATTATTAAGTAACATGAAAAATTGTTAACTGTGTTCATGGTAAAGAGTAATCTGGATGTCTGGATTGTGAAAAGATTTTTTGAGTTTTTTGAGCTGGAATTAAGGTTTTTATTGCATCATCAGCTCACTATACGTCCCCACGGCTCGGAGGCTAAGTTAGGGGTGACAAGGCCATAGTCAACCATGCTTGCCCAGTGCGTGTTGGTTGACTTTACACGTATCTTTGAATTTCTTCTTATGTGTAGATATGTGCAAGTCTTCTTATTTGGTTATGACAAATACTTTGAAATATAATGCTGGATGACGAATATAAAGGAAAAATAGTTCAATTTTAAACTAAGTAGAACTTATGTTATCGGACCAACAGGGTTTAACATAAAATGACCTATTTTCCTTATAATGTGTTTATATTTAACGTAAATGTGGATGTAAATTTTTATTAATTTATCCCTGTATGCAACTGCTATAAATATAATATTTATAACTGTATATAATTAAATATTATTTTAAAATATATATTATTCAGAACACTACGTTAAGAGCAGTATAAGACACGAGAAAGATTTGTCAGAACTGCGATAATTGCCGTTATCTTTCCTATGGGATATTAGCTTGATGCTTTTTTTATTATAAAATAGCTGTAGTCCTTGATTCTATCCACGTGGTATTAACAAAAATTAATAGTAGCCCATATGTTCCTCCAGATTATGTTCTATATCAGTGCCAACTTTCGAGATCCATACAGAAGTTTTTGATATACCTTCAAACAAACATCCATCCATCTAAACATTCGCGTTTATAATATTAGTAAGAAGTAAGATGATCTTACATTCAAAGATTTATAATGTCATCTAATTATTACAATCGATAAGAATTACATTTTATATGCAATATATATTTCTTTATTCAGATATTGCAAACGGCAACATCAGAAGAATGTGCGAAGTTTGATGGAGAAATTACAGACGAGTGAGTTTTTATATAAATATTAACAAACTTTTTTTAATTTACTAATATTTCTTGTACCAATACAACTGATCTCTAGGCTTGTGCTGGAATAGTCGAACGGCGGGATTTGAACCCTCGACTAAATTCGGAAATTCAGTCCCCTAACCATTGGGTCATTGGCGCTTTCAAACTTAATTTTAATTTAATTTTTGTGTAATATTGCGTAATGATATTTATATTCTGCTTTTACCATAAACAATCAATTAACATTGTTTGCTTTAAATAGTCTGACATGAATAATTTATTTCCAGAAAAATATTGCTACCTACATCAGCGATATGTTCCTGTTATAAGTAAGTTTTTTCAACCCTTTCTAAGCACTAGAAAAACTAATGAAAATACATTATTGTATTAAAAGGAAGAATGCAAGGTGATTCAGAAAAGAAATTCATGGTGGGAAAGTGAATCACAGTGTTACTCGGAGTTATTCCGTCCAGCGGGGATAGACAAACTGCATTGGCTTCAAAGCGATTCCATAGCGAAATTCAAAAATGTATGGAACTGACGCGCAATAATCACCTGACATATCGAAAGTTATTGTTAGTTCGATACAAAAGTTCGCTATGGAATCGCTTCGAAGCGAATGCACTTTGTCTAACCGCCCAGATTGATGAAATACCTAGAATCAAAAAGGTCGGTATTAAGAGCACGAGATGTAGACTTGTATGGGTTAATGTATGGATGTGTAAGAAGCTAGAGAGGTGTGTCAGTATCTAAATGGAGGACCGGCATAGATTGCCCAATCCCCTGAGTAACCAGGGTGACGTTTGTTATGATATTTAAATATTTCACGTACATTGAGTCTGTCAGTTATTTTTTTTTATTGCAGTCCCAAAAATACTAAACATAAACTACTAAAATTACATTTAAAAGTTTCACTAAGTTTCGCATCGTAATAAGCTGGTTTAGTAGCTAATTAATATCATAATAAAAACTTACGTAAAATGCGAATGTTTAGATGGAAGAATGTTACAAGATATCTCCAGAACAGCTGCATGGATCTCATTGATATTTGGCATGAAGAACATACTCTGGAAGAACAATTGGCTACTAATTACTTTTAATTATGCGAGGAATGAGTCGCCACTCTACTGCATATATTCGTATTGCATACATATTCAAGCTATTGGTGTATAACAGTAAATTATTATGTTACAGACCTGAAGATGCAACACCGCCCGTGGTAGTAGCAGACGTGAGTAAAATACTGACTTGGATTTAAAATAGTCTGTATTTTGAAAAATACATTTAACCATATCCAATTTCATGACAGTTACCGTTATAATAACCAACTTATGTTACTTAATAATTGTCTTAAATCAGAAACAGTTTTTTCTTTATGTTTCAGGATAAAACATGTAATTTAAATATAAACTTAAAAGCTGGGTAAGTATTATTTTGTTTTTAAATTATAAATGCGAATGTTTGGATGGATGGATGGATGTTTGAAGGTATTTTTTCTTTATAATAGAAGGGGGTAAACGAGCGGTGGGAACACCGAAGTGATCAAGATATCTCCAGAATAGCTGTATAATTTTCGGTGAAATTTTTAGTAGTAAATTTAGTATCCATGTATCAATGTAGAGCACAGTATATACTATTAATTTTTCTTTAATTATGAATAATTCAGTGTTACAAAACCAAACAAATACGTTTCGGAGACTTATACTTGCTTATATAGAACAATATTGTATGAATTATTTCCTTTTCTTTCAGTATTGTTCAGTTCAGCCTTGCAGATTTGTGTGAAAAACGTAAAGGGTAAGATTTTCAAAGCTTTTAAACACTTATAAATATACACATACACACATTTACACATACACACACGTTTGTGTTTACACACACACCTACACACGCACTCACACACACACTATAATTATTAATTCATAAATTAGTTGTTTTTCTACAATTATTAAATTTATATGCATGGGAAGTCCTTTGCTCCTTAAGTACAGGTCTTCCTATTTAAGGAGCCAAGGCAACATTGAATTTTGAATTTCTTGTGTATACAATAAAGATTTTTTCATTTTTTTCATTTAAATTGTACTAAAACTGTGGAATACTCTGTTGCCGTTGTATATGTCCGAATTTCAAAAAGTCCTAAAAACTCAGTCCCGGTAAATCTATAAAGCCCAGCTTTACATTTTTACCGATACTTCATAAAGTATCCACAGCTTTCGTATTTCATAAAACACGAAAGCTGTGGAATCGCTAACATGCTTAAAAATTTGCATCTGATACTCTGTTACCTGCAACTAAGATTGGCCGATATTAATATACTAACATTTCTTTTGGTTAATATCGATTCTTACTTATATCATGTAATAAGTATATAAATCCATATGGATTAAATATTCATTGTACTTATTTTTTTACAGATGTTCTATTAAATCTGCCAGTATCTCCGCTACCGAAGTATCAAGTATTCTAAAACCTATAGATAAACCAACGGATCCACTTTTGTCGTCCACACCAAAGGCAACCGAAAGGTAATTAAAAAATTAAAATATAAAATAATCCTCTCAAATAAATTTTAAATTCATTGGACGTATAATTTACAGCGAAACAGTTAAACCTGTCGATCCTGCTATTATTTCTGTTTCTGAAGTGTCAAGTACTCTCAAACCAATAGATAAACCTACGGATCCGCTTTTGTCGTCCACACCAAAGGCAACCGAAAGGTAATTCATCATCAGCTCACTATACGTCCCCACCGAGGGGCTCGGAGCCTTCCCTAAGTTAAGGGTGATTAGGCCATAGACAACCATGCTGGCCTAGTGCGGGTTGGTTGACTTCACACATATCTTTGAAGTTCTTCTCAGATATGTGCAGGTTGCATCATAATGTTTTCCTTCACCGTAAGAACGTCGGATAAATGTACATATGTAAATCGGAAATCTAAAAACACATTGGTACATGGCGGGATTCGAACCCAGGACCTGCACTTTGCAAGTCAAGTGGTTGACCCCTGAGCCACCGTTGCTCTCAAGGTAGGTAAGGTAATTAAAAATTTAAAACATAAAATAATCCGCTCAAACAGATTTTAAATTCATTGGACTTATATTTTACAGCGAAACAGTTAAACCTGTCGATCCTGCCATTATTTCTGCTACCGAAGTGTCAAGTTCTCTCAAACCAACAGATAAACCCACGGATCCACTTTTGTCGTCCACACCAAAGGCAACCGAAAGGTAATTTAAAAATATAAAACGTAAAATAATCCTCTCGAAATAGATTTTAAATTCATTGGACTTATATTTTACAGCGAAACAGTTAAACCTGTCGATCCTGCCATTATTTCTGCTACGGAAGTGTCAAGTTCTCTCAAACCAATAGATAACCCCACGGATCCACTTTTGTCGTCCACACCAAAGACAACCGAGGGGTAATTAAAAATTTAAAATATAAATAGACGTAATATTCATTGTACGTATAATTAACAGCAAACCAATCAAATGTAACAAGTACTATAAGGTCGATAGTCAATACTTTTTAACTACTGCTTCTGTAATTCGTAAGGCATCAATATTCTTTTCCATTTTGCTTGTATGTATTAATCGATTAAGTGTATATCTCCAGTGTGACCTAGACCTTAATCAGCTTGAGTTTGAATTCAAGTGGAATTCAGCGGAGAATTGATTGATTTTTTCCACAGAGTTTCCCCATCAATTGATTTATTGAATAAACTATTGGTTTAAATATGAGGCTACGACTGGATCAGAGAAATTAAATCCTGAAATTGGCAGGTATTCCAATGGCCATCGTTACATCGCCTTTTATAAATTTGCGAAGAAATTAGTTTCAAATTTTATCACAATATGCTTAATATATTTCTGGTCATAGAATAAAAGCGACCATGTTGTTAGTATAGTCATCGACGCACCAAGTATGAGCTGGTAGACTATGAAGACAAAACACTATCGTCTTCTGATAAATCTTGAGAAAGTAAGTTTAAAAAAGCGTTGCTATACCGACATTAAGGTAATGTTTTCATTCATGTTCAAATAACAAATCTTGGTGCAGCAATTACACAGTCTCAAGACGGAATATTGGTAGGGTCGTTGGTTATTTTTAATCCTGCAATAATTATAAATATTGTATTTCATATTTATCAGTGAACCAAAGGATCCTGTGATTGGTGAGAATGGATCTTCAATAGCGTCTTCTACTGCTCCTACTTCTACAATTACGAGTTCTGCCGAGTCCAAAGATTCATCAGGCATTACGACTACAATGTCGTCACTGGATAAATCAAGCGCCGGGTAATTGTATATATCATGTTACCGAGGTATAACATCAACAAATCTCATACAAATTTGAAATATTTTGTCGATCATGTTACGAAAGCTCGTGTCGCAAATACTGACTTCGCGCTTCAACTAGTTAAAAGAAGAAAAACAGCTATTTTTTATAGAAATGTAAATCTAAATATATTTATTGTTCAAGGGCACATGTGAATAGTGAAAAATCCGACTCCAAGTTCTCTGGAGGAGTGGTGTTCCTCTTATTCTTGTGCGGGGTCGTGGTCGGGGTTCTAGGATTCTTTATGGTGATATACATCCGAAAACGATACCGCGGACGTAGTTACGGTAATTTTTTTATGCACTAAATTATATAACATACTTTAAGCGTGGGTTTCTATTGGAACACCAAAGATTTTTTGGTTTTTCCAAGAGCAAGAATAGGATGATAATATACGTTTTTTGTACAAATAGTTCCAGCGGTAGAAAACCAACGATTAAACGCTTTTTTTCCTTTTTTAAATGTGCTTGGTTTATCAAATCCAGTTTATATTTTTTCGGGCAACAGCATTTAAGTTGTAATATGTTTTTCTTTCTTTTCAGAAACTAATGACCCCCCTCAAGAACCATAGATTAATTAATTATTTATAATATTTTAGGACATGAAATAAATGCAGGTTATTTTTTGAAAATATATTTGTCATATTTTTTGTGCACGTCTTGTATACGCAAAATGTGAGCTAAGCATAAAATATTATATCAATGTAGAAGCATTTCGTTATGATAGATTTTGCCGAATTATAATTAATTAATATACATGGTATTTCACTTGACACGTCGGAAACAAGCATAATCTTGGGCTTAACGTGCCAAATTAATCGCCTGTTAGTACAATCATTACATTAACATCTTGTAGTAATGATAAGTTTGTTTTGTACATGTTGATTACAAATTAAAGACATTTACAAATTCTACGAATGTATTTTATTTAAAAAGTAACCTATTATTGTTTAAAGAACAAAATCATTCAGTTTTTTTCTGTATTTAAAGTTCCTGTTCTGTAGTTCTGTATCAAAGTCCTGGACTACCTTATACGCTTCACACAAACTGCTTTCCCTTTGACACTGTGATCTTTGTAATAGCCCATGTTACAGATGCAGAAGTTAGGCCCAGAACAAACTCCGTTAGGGCAGCCGCCGGGACAATGTGGAATACATCTGGAAAAAAATATAAAAAAAAATATTAGCAGCCTATATGGTCTTCCAGACTGTTTTCTACATCTATGCCAAATTTCAGCATCCATTAAGCCGTTCTGGAGATATTTTCTAACAAACCATCCATCCATCCTTCCAAACATTGGCGTTTATAATATTAGTAAGATATAATTTACAAATATAATAGACGATTATGAACTGATGGCAATAAATCACTGGCCAGAAATACTAAAATTGTATTGTTATACTGATGAAAGTAATAACATTGCAATTATTATGTCTCACCTGGTACCAGTTGGATCTTCTTTGTCCAATACATAACCTCGGTTACAGCCACATCTGTTCCCTTCAACACAAAATCCATTGACGCACGACACGGAGCACATAACCTGGACATCGCTGTCAGGAGAATTTTGGCTTTCCGAGTACAATGGTCTGTATTCTTGACCAGGGTAAAATGTGTACATGTTTTGATTTGGAGATTGGCCCGGTTGGTATGGATAAGGACTAGGTTGAAATTGACCTGGCATTATTGGATACTGGTTAGGCTGGTGATATCCGGGTTGGTACGGATATAGGTTTGGTTGGTTTGGATTCTGGCCTGGGTGGTCTCGAGACCCATTTATGTTGGGCAGATTTGAATGTTGATCTGGTCGAATAGGACGTTGTCCTGATTGATATGGATATTGGTCTGGCTGGTTCGAACGGTCCGTTTGGTTTAATGTTTGTCCAGGCTGACCAGGTAGATTGGGATATAATCCAGTAGGATATTGATTAGATTCATCAGGATTGTGGCCCGGCTGATTGGGATGTTGACCTGGCAAACTGGGATATTGACCAGGTTGTTTAGGATGTTGACCTGGCTGACTAGGATATTGACCTGGTTGATTAGGATATTGCCCTGGTTGATTAGGATATTGCCCTGGTTGATTTGGATATTGCCCTGGTTGATTAGGATATTGCCCTGGTTGATTAGGATATTGCCCTGGTTGATTAGGATATTGACCTGGTTGATTAGGATATTGACCTGGTTGATTAGGGTATTGACCTGGTTGATCAGGATACAAGGCTGACTGATTCGTTTGTTGTCCTATTTGGTAGCCTGGTTGGTTTGGTTCGTGTCCTTGTTGGTATCCTGGTTGAGTTGGTTGTTGACCTGGCCTGTACCCTGGTTGGTTCGGATATTGATCGGGCTGCCCAGGGTGTTGTCCTGGTTGATTAAGATGATTGCCTGTATGATTCAGTGGATTGTGGACACTGTGTTGATCTGGTAGATTCGGTTGTTGTCCTGGCCTATACCCCGGTTGGTACGGATACCCGGGTTGACCAGGATATTGACCCGGATGATATCCTGGTTGGTTAGGATATTGTCCATGTTGATTTAGTACACCAGGCCTTATTGTTGATGAACCAGTTTCTGCAAATGCACAAACATTGGGTGCAATACAGCGGCCATTTGCTCCGCATCCCCTGTAAAAAAATGTTTTCGGTTACTTTCGCGTGTGTGCTCTAAATGGTGCTCGAACAGTTATGACGTAACGACGGTTAGTGAACAAGAGCAAGAAACATTCTTAAAGTTTTCGTTCTTCGTACTTACTGGTCACACTGTGGTATGCATTGACCTTTGTCGTCCTTCTTAAAGCCCTGACGGCAGTGGCATTCGTTAGGAGCCACGCATTCTCCATCGTTGCATCGGTCGCAGGCAGGCTTACACGAACCTTGAGGCGTCGACTGGTAGCCGGTCTTACATTCACAAGTATTAGGCGCTGTACAATTCCCTAAAATGCAAAATAAAGCTGTTTCATTCTCTTTTTATTCCTTGATCACACAATTAATAAAATTTATCGTCCTAATGATTGCTATTTGACATTTATAAGAGTTACCGTGCTAATTGGGTAATAATATCTGACTAATGAAAAGTAATAAGCAATTGTTTTTAGTTATTTATTCGTTATTAACATCGTTTTGTTTAATAATTGCTTTGATTTTAATAGTAATTCATATAATAAGTGTAATATAGTGATTATTTAAATGGTTTTTATTGCATTCTATTTTTGATTGATATATTTGACCAAATACATCGATGTCATACTTACCAATGCCACCACAGTTCTCCTTACACTCAGGCAGACAATATTTGCTATCAACGTCTAGCTTATAGCCTTCTTTACATAGACATTCACCGCCGGAGCAATATCCGTTCTGACAGCCGATAGGACACGTGGGTATACAAAATCCAGCTACGTTCTTCACGTGGTCTGGGAAACAGGTGCAAGTCTCTGGCGCCGTGCAGAGTGCGTTGACACACTCCTTCGAGCACACCGGGTCGCAGAGCCTGGAGTTGTGGATATTCCTAACGTAGCCTCTGCAGCACGATCTGATGCGGCTTAGGTCTGGTCTTGACTGGAAATTGATAGTAATTTGTTATACGAGTACGCAAATATATAAAAAAATATAATAATGCGTAAAACGAATTTTTACTTACCCCATTCCCGGCAGGTACGTGAGCTGGATCCCTCACTAGACTAGAAGTCCTGGAAGAGACATTATATTTTGGATAAAAATCCAAGATATCTTCATAAAAATTAAGTTAAATACAATTATTTATTGAAATGCAAACAGCTAGTAATATTTGCTTTACAATGACATGTTAATTATCCTATTTAAGTTTAATAAACGTTCAGTGTACTTACGGAACTTCAATGTAGCACACGCCGACGTCATAGTTGATTGATGACGTCATGTCGTAGCCATGCTGCGTCCGGTTTCCGAAGTACCTGGGTTAAGGTAATTTAATTAACAAAATAAGTCATATTTAAATCAGTAGTATCGTAAATTATTCAAAATATTTGTCTTGTTACCGAGCATTTGAAAAATTACTAAGACTACTTAAGCAGCTAGCACTGGCGAAAATTAAAACATTTTTTTATTGACGTGTTGGTAATGATTGGTCTTCTCATAAACATTTTTGGTATTACAAGTTAGAACTTGTCTTGTATAGCAGCTTTGCAAAGAAGTTTTCACTAGAGAGAAAACTTCTTTGCAAAGCTGCTATAGTAAATCATAAAATTTCAGATTCAATATGATCCAATAAAATTAACACTTCACCTGCAGTTCCAAATGGACACAAATGGTATTAACAACCCTAACAAGAACATTGACACAAAAAATACTTACTTGACAAGGTTGTCGCCGGCGTAGTACCGGTGGCCACCTCCTCCATGTCCACCTTTGACAGTTTTCACGTACTGTGCGTCGCTAAAGACACCGAAGCACGCCAACAGCGCGACAGATGCGTAAAACAGCATCTTGTTCTGTTGTACAGGCACACTTCGATAAACATATAGGGACTTAGACTATCGCAACTTAGGTGGCGGCTTTTTATGTAGAGACTAGCTGTCGCCTACGACTCCATCCGCGCGGAATAAAAAAACCCTAATTATTAGCCAATATGATCTTCTACACTATGTTCTACATCTGTGCCAAATTTCAGCCGGATCTGTTCAGACGTTCTGGACATTCAAACAAACATCCATCCATCCAAATATTTGCATTTATAATATTAGCTAGATTTTATAACTTCGATCAAATTAGTAGTTAATTTTTGATTAATTGGTCAAGAGTTGAACAAAAAGTTCCGGATGTTAAATAAGTTAAATAACACTTGGTATATTTTTTTATACTTATTGGTTACTTATATTCAACAAGGTAACATACGTTATGCGATAAGTTAGTCATCTGGCTAACATGATTGCATAGTTAATTTTAAACTATGACTTACCCGGTGTTTATGTAACTGGATGGACTTCTGCACTGTTTGGCATTCGGAGTGGCACTGACATTATTATGTGTGGCATCAACAGTGATATCACTAATGTCGTGGCCAAGACGAACTGATTTGGTTCCGTATTTGTTCGTGCAGAATCCAGACTTTTCTTGTTTAAAATATCAGACTTTTATAATTTCTAATTTATTGTTTAATATTTTTACAATAGATCTAGATTTAGTTTAAATGGTTTGTCATCATGGAATATAGAAAATTCTAGGACTTGGAATGATAGGAAACCTAGACTACCAATGCTCGTCTACGATCTAAGACAATTACTTCCATTATATTGTCCTGTAACAGTCCACAGCTTGAATTGATAGATTTTGAAAACGGAAATGTCATTCTACTTCCTACTACATATTTATTTGTTAATTTGAATTAGCTTTTCAATACAAATATTTAATTTTATCTTAGTAAAATAATAAATAGAAAATTTAGACGGATGATTGTTAGAAGGTATCTCCAGAACGGTTAACGGGATTTCGCGACAATTTGCCATAGATGTAGAAAAGTCTGGACATATAGGTTACTTAATAAGTTTTTATTTATTTTACGCGGACGGAGTCGCGGTCGGCAGTAAGTATAGTAATAAGAATACATAAAATGATATTTTGATAATAAGAACGGATCGCTAACGGCATTAGGTTAAAATGTCGGCGTATATCGGAAACGATGAGATAATGCAATCATGTTTTGCATTTACATCTTCTCTACAATATATTATATCTACTAAAGCATCAAATTTTCTTCATATATGTGTCTTTTTAATTACATATCTTTTTAATAGTTGTTTTGATGTTAAAGAGTGTTAGTGGCCAAGGGGATGTGCAATAACATTGGCAGTCCGTAGTCTCTGCCTACCCTCTTATGTAAAGGCATGAGTGTTACTGTGTAGTTCTGGAAAGTAACAACTTGCAATCAGAATTCCAGAAAGTAATAACTCCAGAATAATATTATATTTGTCGTTTCATAGAATTGATATAATTCTGACCTTCAGATAGGTTTCTAAGAAGATTAATATTTGTTGACATATTTATGCGATACTAGTTGTCGCCTGCGACTCCGTTCGCGCGGGAATAAAAAACAACTTGATTAGTAGCGTATGTGTTCTTCCATATTATGTTCTATGCAAAATTTTAGTGAGATACATGCAGCGGTTCTGGAGATATCGTCTAACAAACATACATCTACCAATCCATCCAACATTTATTATATTAGTAAGATTTGTTAGACGTTTTAAATTTAAATAAGGAAAACCATAACTGCACATTTTTGGGATCATTTTTAAAAATAAAATAAACGATATTATCTATGAATACTTTTATTTACCTAATCTTAACAGTATGAGTACAAATTAAAAGTACTATAATGTCTTTGGCATAGATTAAAAACTAAATTCAGAAAAAACATTATTACTAATATACATAGACTGCCATCTATTGGATGAAATTGACAACTTTAAGATTGCTATAACTCTGTTATAGCTTCTCCGTTTAAATTGAGCACTTCAATGGCGTGTTCGGAAGGTGGTCTCCAGCAAGGTATTTCAGCATATAAAGGTTCTGATGTAGATGCATCAATTGCGTCAAGTTTAGCTTCACATTTCAGTGCGTCAATTGTAGAGTCGTGTACGGATCTTGACTTTTGATAGCGTTCTTGTGAATAGCTCATAGATGGCGCTGCAGCAAAACGAGACGGCATTGTACCAAAATCGTGATTCCTTCGAGGCAAATGGTCATAATGACATTCTAATATACCTAAAATAAATTAAATATATTATTAGTATTTTTTAACATAATTGTGATTGTATTTAAGTAACATTTGTATTTAAATAATTTGATAAATTACAGTACTCATCATAAGTTAAAGAGTTACGGACTAACAAAAAAAAAACAGACGAATTGGGAACATTTTCATAGTCGGTTAATAAAGATTTATTTACCTCTAAAATTTTCCAACATTATAGGCGAGATGTTCTGCACCACTACTGGCCTCATGAACTGTTTCAAATTTCGATCTAAAGTAGAAATTGGTTGGTAATGACATTTGTCTGACGGAGGTTCTGGAACAAAACAAAATAAAAATTATGAAACACGTACAAAAAATATAAACTCATTCACGTGTTTAAAAATAATCCAAAAAAGATATCGTGGCCCATGAGGGGATCGAACCCGCGACCTTCGCGTTATTAGCACGACGCTCTAACCAACTGAGCTAATGGGCCGATGTTTGATTTGTTGAATTTTACCATCAGAAAGATTATTAAAACTAACAAATTAATTTGAAAAAATGCAATATTTTAGTTAAGATTAATATTACCTGGTAGCGGCGTATGGAAGATGCTTCTGGTGTAAGGCGGCGGTGCATCATTGTTATCTATCGTAACCTGCATTCTTATGTCATTGACTTTTCTCACTTGTTCAAACCTGGGCCTCCTGCAGCGCTCCACCATGACGATGAGGACTGCCACGGTGATGACGGCCATCATCACACCTCCAGCTATACTGACCACAGATATCAAGTCCATTGAGGTTCTGTCTCGCTCTTTCTCATTCATCACAGCAGTTATATGCTCGGGCTCTGTCAAAATATGAAAAGTTTCATCGTCCGGTTCCTTCGTTGTTAAATGTTTAGTAGAGAATTTTGTTACATTCTTTATAGGATTTTTCATTTTTGTTTCCGTTATATTCATTCTTGTTAGTACCTTTTCAGGATATTTAGTCGTCTTTAAATTTGGAATGTTTGCTTTAGTTATATTTTCTAGAACAATCTTTTTATGCACCGTCGAAGCGGTTAGAGGTCTGGTTGTAACTTCAATGGATATCGGCTTAATAGGTCTCACGGTAGACTTCTTAGTTACCTTTTCAACGGTGATGTTTTGTGTCGTCGAACTGTTAGTCGAAGTTGAAATTGTTGTTAGGAAGGTAGAGAGATTCAATCTTGAATTGTTTATCTCCATGCTTACCATGCTGTTAGTAGTACTTTGAGTAGACGATACGTCTTTATCGTTCAAATTTGTTTGAAGATCTGACACATTTTTACGAATTTTCGGCGTAGAATTCGAAAAAGTGCTTATGTTTTTCGAAATGGTACTTGATATTATTATTTTTTTAATGAACGGTGGCAGAGAAGTATGAGATGCCATTGATGAAGTAAACCCATGTTCAGTTTTATTAAATTTAGTTATATTATTTGTGTTTTTCATTGTTAGATAGGAAGAAGTAGTGAGAGCTATTTTTTTGAAAGTGGCGTAAGACACTGATGTCGGAATTATTGAAACAATAATGGTTCTCGGAGTTGTGAACTCTGATGACTCTTTCTTTGTCGCGATACGATTTCTTGGATTAACAGATTCATGATTTGTTTTTATTTTAAAATCTATAACAGTAGATTCACCTTTCTGCGTTGGTTTAATCCAAATTTCTTTTGGTTTGAATTTAACTGTTGATAAGGTTCTTGTTGTGGTTTCATGTCTCTTTGTGGCTTCTAGTTTAGTTGTCAGCTCCTTTTCCGTTGAGGTAAAAATATTTGCTCTCGTTGTGTATGTTTCAGTTTTCTTCTCAGTTGTAGTAATGAGCGGTTGCTTTGTAATATTATCAACAGTTGTTAATATTGGATTTGTTGAAGTAAGCATTTTATCAAACGATGGAGTAGTAGATACAATTTCTAAAGATATTTCTGTTCTGTTATAAATAGATTTTGTATTTTTAGTACTTCCAGTAGTCGTTGGAACTGTTGTACTTGCAATGGGACTCGTAATTTCCGTTGTAATTGTGATATTTTCGTAATTTCTAATCTGGTTAGTTGTCGACATCAAGGTAGTACTTTCAAAATTTTCAACACTTTCGTATATATTTTTTCTACCTGATAAATTTTCCAGTTCAATTTTTCTGGTTGTTAAATTAATTTCTGTAGTAGTTGGTGTCTCTTTTGGTGACGTTGCTAAAGTAGAAGTAGTCGATTTAGGGGAATTTGATGTTGTGCTAGAACTAGAGGTAAATTCAGATGTAAATGGAGTCACAGTACTAGTTTCTAATGTTGTGCTACTAGCAGTTGATGCATTACTAATAGTAGTTCTACTAAGAGACGTTCCAGTAGTAGGATTAGTAATAGTTGTAGGTTTTGACGTTGTTAGTAATTTCTCCATCACAGTTGTCGTTGCTTGCGTAGTTGACATGCGGAACTCGCAGCTGCGAAACAAATATACATTTTTTAATTAGTTATATTTTCATAGCAAAAAAGAAAACAAACAGTTTATGTGATGTCCTTTATAAAAAGGTACAGGATTCTGTGTGGCAAGTGAGCAAAGTGCTCTGTGTGCAAGATGATATGAAGTGGCCACCCACCTCTCACCTTGCCATCCATCCTCACATTCGCAGTCTCCAGTGAGTGGTGAGCAGCCTCCGTGCTCAGCACACTGGCTGCAGTTGTACACACAGTTCGGGCCCCACTTGTTCTCCGGACAGTCTGTAAACAGGCAGCCATCTTTCTCAAATATTGTCGTTAAAATTTCGAGCACACTTAAATAACGCAGTCTGATAGAATTCACAGATCTTGTTACAGTGGTAGATGCCAGCAATAACATCTGTTCTTCGAAGGCACACCTTAAGTGAAATATTTTCCGCTTTAGTTAACTTTTCTTCCCATCCTTTTCTGATAAAGATTTGATAGAGAATGGGATGCATAGAAAGAGGAAATATCTGTGCTTCTGTCCTCTTCTGTCGTCCTCCTTCGATTAAAGGTAAGCAACGTATCTGTTTATGGATGTGTATGGGAATTTCGACCATATCAGATGGCCGCTTGCTTGTTTGTCACTATAAAGAAATACGTAGGAATTACCATCTGAACATCCAGGACCGGTCTTCCCGTACGGACAGATTGGTACACAGGACACGTCTTTCATCTTGTACCCCGGACAGCACACCGCCACTTCAGCTGTACGCTCTTCTGTCTGCAAACAGAACAACATTACCAATTTAAAATTGAGAAATCGTTTATAATAATACTACAATGAACTCTGTTTTGCATTACAGTATTAACAACATATTAACTATTATTCTAGGTATTGTTATCGCGAGAGGAAATGACAAGGCTACAGTGTTACAAGCTGCTGTTAGTATCGCTCCGTTTAATATCAAATGGATATCTCGGTTAAAACAATAAAACCTTATTACTATTTCGATGACATTTAGACTGTGTTGAAGCTTAAAAAAAAATAAGCCACGAATTAGTCGGAAACGAATTTATAACGAAAAATTGTTTCGCTTTGTGATTCTTGCTATCGTGTGTTGGTCATTTGAGGAGATCAATCGGAGATAGGAGCTACACATTACACATCCAGTTTATCGGCCTCAGGATCATGTACCGTTCGAAACATCGTTCCTTGTGCGTACCGCAAAGGATTGGAACAAGTTGCCAGCCTCTGTTTTTCCGTCCAAATATGATATTGGGACCTTCAAAAGTAGAGTGAACAGGCACTTACTAAGCTAGCGCGTACCATCTTTCGACCAAGTCTCCACTTCACCAGGTGGGATCGTGGTCAAACGCTGGCTTATAAAACGTAAAAAAAAAACCTTATAATTAGTAGAACTATCGTCTACGAAAAGAAAACGAACTCTTTCAGTAGGACCTTTTTGATCATCCAGGAAACTATTATCGTTTATTTCTCCTAACGGTTTATCTTAGCAATCTTTGGCTACTTTGCAGCATTTGTGTTTGTATATGTGTGTGTGTATGTTACCTCTAGGCGCGTGAGATCTCGCATCTCCGTGCTCCAGCGCGAGCAGCGCGGCGGCATGGAGAAGCACCACTCGTACGTGCGCACTGACATCGGCGCGCGGTACTTCACGCGCTTCGTTATATTGTATCTGAAGTAGAGCAACATTTTCATTAACATCACCTTGTCTTACATCTTTAGAAATGTCACGTTCTAATTATTGGATCAGATTTTTTTTCAGACCAGCTTTATAGATAGTTAAAAAAAACTTTAGGTTAGGTAGAAACACGTAAACATAGTAATTATACACTTGGAATCTATGACTTTACCCCACCAGTCCATTCTAGCTTCACATAAAAGACTTACTTCTGCTTGACCATGCAGACATTGGGTCCGCTGAGGCTGGCCACCTCCGCCAGTACTGCGACAGCGAGCAACGCACACCATAATTGTGCGCCCGCACCGCGCCACCGCACACACACCCGCATCGTAATCACTACTGCCAATCCATTGTGACTGTGTAATTTGTTTCTTCTCCCGTGTGCTTACTAAGTAGACGAAGTTCTATATTAATTTTAGTGTTGAATAAGTCATCAAGCATCAGTGTTACGATAGATGAGCTCAACATCTTACTCATTTTATAAATGCGAATGTTTAGATGGTATTTCCAGAACCGCTAATTTCGCTGAAATTCGGCATAGATGTAGAGCACGGGCTAAAAGATGACACAGGCTACTTCCTAAGGTTTTTTATAAATCCGTGCGAACGATGTCACGGGCTATAGCTAGTGTTACCATAAGACAAAGTATCTCTTCTTCCATAACTTTTTTGAATACCAAGTCATCTTTTAAAAATGTCAAGACTCTAACATAACCTATAACTGGTCAAGACTATATAGAATAAATCTGTACAGCAAATGTTTTGGAATCGAACCCGCAGCTAGATATAAGAGTCGTGCCGCCAACAGCTGCGTTATGAGACACTTTTACTATCACACACATATTTCAACTAATTCCGCTGTCCTGTTCGCCCCCCATCCTGCACAGTTAGTTGACCCGCGTTACTGACATCTCGACACGCAGTTGTATTCAAGTACTCTGTTATATATGCTGGTCGTAGATAATTATAATATTAATATGTCAAAGATTATCCAAGAGTTGTTCTTTCTTATAGATATTATTAGCTTTCGCCCGCGATTTCGTTCACGCGGAATTAAAAAAACTTAAATAGTACCCTATGCGCTATTTAAAATTCGGTAATATGCATACACGGCTCTGAATCAAAAGCAGTTCTGGAGTTATGTGATAACAAACATCCGTACATCCAAACATTTGCTTTTATAATATTAGCAAAGGTTAAAAAATATACAAAATTTATGGTGGTATTATCAAATAGAAAATGCACATGTTTAAATATTTTACGACGCTATCAATGCTTTTAATATTTGAAAAATAATAAGATATTAATTTTTTAGTAATATTATAAAATTCTTACACGACATAAAATGAGCTAACATGTTTAATTGTTAATATTTCCAGTCATGTAATAATAGATTAATTAAACAGACATCGTGTCGCCATAATTTTTAGCTAACTTTACCAATAATGTAAAATAAACTGTATTTCCTGAAGCATAAAACTCATAATTGATTAAACAACTTTGCTAACTAAATCATAAAATATGCCAAACGAATTTGTCCTTTATGTCTATGGAAATATGATTTAAATCATATTATAAAGGTCGTTGCACACTTGTACACTAATGTAGTAGTGCGTGCACACGTGCTCGAGGCAATTGCTCGCAGGATGTGAGAAGATGCCATCAGCTTTATCAATCGAGGCGACGACCTCTTTTTGAATTGTCAATGGAGTTAGAAATTTCTAAGGGCATGTGCACAATGATAGTCTTTGTTACGTCAAACTTTTCCCGAATATTTCAAAAAGAGGTTATTATAAAATGTTTAATTTTAATTGTGAATTATAAGAATTAATAAGAGCTGTTGTTATAGGTTAGGGTTGATGAACCAATGGCACACGTCACAATGTTTACAGTACGCACTACGAAAAATATAGGTATTTAATGATCAAACCCAATTATATATTCAAAATTATTGATGTAACGTCTATGATCTCATTAAAAATTTATTTACGCGGCTCGTTTTTACGTTAAATTTTGTTATTAACACTTATACGATTATTCACAAACTTGCATCATCACAAATAAAACGTAATTACATTGTTTGCTTTTCATATCACACTCTTTCCCGCCTAATTCACTGTCGTTGTTTTCTTTTTAATTATATTTGCCTATTGCATCCTCGGCGGCCAGTGTTCATTGAATATACATCTACAATAGTATTACAACTTAAATAATTATTATTCTACTATATTCTGTCTTATTAAATACATTACGTTTTATTATAAATGTGCTTTTACGTTATTTTTAATTACTAAAAAACAATGCTATTTCGATCAGCGCCATCTAGTATCCAATAAGTACTAACCGGCCTGAATCATTTTTGTTTTGTATTACAAATAAAAACATCGTTGTGAAAACAATATTGTTGTTATTTTATATAGATAATTGGATATTAAAACATTGTTTCATTGTTTTAATTGTAAGTGAATACACGTATGTAAAAAAAAATGACAAATGCAACATAGTAAAGTGGTGTACAACGATTCATTATATTTTTTTTTCGGAAAGGCAGCTTTTTATGACACTAACTTTTGAATGCGACTACGTCCGCACGGAATTTATAAATATTTAGTAATAGATTTAGCCTATGTTATAATTTTTCCCATAGAAATATTCCTTCTGGACACTGACCTCGGTCGGCCGTTGCCTAGCTTCGCTAACCGCTTTTTTATTTAACAACAGGATATCAGCGTTCCCTGTTATATTTATGACATATTTTACGAGCAATTTGTGCGGCAATGGACGGAAGAGCGCTGTTCGGGCCCCTCTATTAGACCTAGTTGCACTGACTGACGCCTGACAAAACACAAACCATATGTTTATACGTTTGATTGATTCTAACAACATGTAATGGACACCTGGGCTTTGAACTCAGATGCTTAAGTGTACGAATACTGCAGTTCTATTTCGACAATTGTGTTGTTTTATTACGGCGCTGCCTGAGGTAATTATAGTTGTACAAGGCAGTTGAGTTGACACGTCAGTAAAAACAGTACTCTAGTTCCCGACGTGCCAACTAAAAATCCGGGTAATATAAAATTGAGAATCATCCTGTGAATATTTAATTCACAGGATGATAAAACAATATTATATATCACTTTATAAATCGAATCAAAGCAATAAAATTGAATGACAAAATTATAAAAGCTCCTTGGCTTATTCTTTTAAAAGCATCGTGTGAATGTAATTTTAATTCCCATAGCGCAATATCTGTCGCCTGGGCGGCTGCGCGGCCATGCTGGATGACAAATTGCTTTAACGAGTGCGCCATGCGCCTCAAATTGATGTTAATAATGTTTAATTTAATGTTAGCGTTGACACGAACTACCAATGAATGCTTATAAAGGAACGGAGAAAGTGTTACTTACATCTGGATAATATAGCCATTAAGTAATTTTTATTGTAAGAGGGACTAATGGACGACTCGTTTGATGTCTAGTTTTTTTTTTATAAAAGGAGGTGGAATACAAGCAATCACATTAGATGATCTAATGAGACATGTCATAAAAATATTATTTGTTGTAAACGCATAGCTAAAATTAATGTGAAAAATTCATATAACCTTTTTGGACTGTTCGTCTTTTCTAACAAATCCAGCTTCTCTTCCTATTCTTCCTTATTATAAAATGGTGGGTAGGAGAAGAGGACTAAAATATGGCCAGCACACACATATCCTACGATACGTCGAAATACTTCCACTTTAAGCCTGTTTTCTCTGTGGTCGTAGTATTACTCCGGGCGGGGGACCAATAGCTTATGCTACTGGTGAACATCCAAAGTTATCTTTTTAATATTAATTGCCAGTACCTTGTCATGTCTTAGCTTTTTTGTCTTTTATACTCTCCGGAATTTGTTGCTTGCTCCAATTTTGTTAAAAAGGAATGGTAGCTTCAGTGCCGACTTTAGCGCTACCAATATCCTGGGCGAGATTTCTACGGACCTCCCGTCTTTTTGAGGTTGTAATTCGCAGTCATAGGGCGCCCTTTTCTGTTCAATGCCCAGGGCGTTCGACCAACCGCGCCCTACCCTAAAGCCGGTACTGGATAGCTTACAAGATAAATGTATTAAATTACTGAATGTTTTGTAAAACATGCATTCTCAGTTGCCGTTATTTATAAAATAAAAACGGGTACAAATCAAAACACGTTGAGCTGTCTTACGATGATTACGTGTTTCATCTGTTTTTTTTGTTAGGATTTTTTTAGAAAATCAATTTATTTAAATGCATTTAAAATGAAAAAAATTGTACACCAAATTATATTTTTAAAGATTGCTTAGTTCTTCTCTCAATATCCAAAAGCATCGTAGTAACAAATATTTTGGAGGCAATTTAAATAGCAAGAAAGCTTAGTACCTAATTGGTGCTCCAAGGAAGTCATTTTCTATGTATTGCAATTAAAGGCCTTAGCAAACTCTTATCCATAAAGTCATAAGCAAGGAAATCTCCTTAAATCTTATTGACTTACGCTTAAGAGATCAGAGAAAAGATCGTAGATTTAAGATTATTATAAACCTTTCCCTCTTAGCTTGATTTAGAGAATAGTCAACGAAAATTAAGTATTCGTATCTTGTATATAATTCTCGTGTCACAATATAAGTTCTCATACTTTTCCGAAAAGACTTAACTGATGTTATGAAATTTTATATGCATATTCAGTAAATGTAAGAATCGGCTATTATCTAGTTTTCAATCCCGCGCGGACGGAGTCGCGGGAGACATCTAATAAACTTATAAAAGTTAATTTAAAAATTCGTTAAGTATCAATTAAAGGTTGAATGAAAAAGGACATGAATTAAACAATGTTTCTTACCTTAATAAAAAAGCTATTTAATGAATTTAATATCTGTATGTAAACTAAATATTACTTTACTTTAAAATTATTAAATAATATTAAAACACAATATACCTGGCTAGTTAAACACACGAACACAAAAACACGCTTATATGTCACACACTGCAAAAGTACCAGGGTAACAAAAGTGGTAAAGAGCGCGCGTCTCGCGACGCGGTTGCCACACAACTGGACTGGGATGGCTCTGGGATGCTGCTGGGAATAAGGGACGGAGCGTTATTACTTTCTTAGAAATAGGGATAAGAACCTCCCTTCGGAATGTTTTTGTCGAGTTGTTTTTGTGAATAATGAAAACAACACGACACAAAGTTATGAGCTCCGAAGCGTAAACATTTCTCATGTAAACAGAGTTTTAATTTTTAAAAAATAGTTGACTATTTCTTTCGCTCTTCTTCTACAGTGAGTGATCCTATAAGGGTTCCGTTTTTTCCTTTCGAGTTACGGAACCCTAAAAAGAAATAAAACATAAAAACATCGCGGAAACGTAAAGTAAATAGTACGTTTAAAATGCAGTTTTATCAGACATCAGTATGCAAAGTATTAACCTCGTTGTTTAAATTGCGTAGTTGTAGTTAAATAATAAAGTAGGACAAAATTACAACATAAACACAAATTGTTTGACTGGACAAACTTTTACAGTGTAACACATTTTTTAAGCTGACGGACTGTTGATTAAGTAATATAATATTAGTCAAGAGACCTAGCCATTGTCCTCCATTAGGGAACAAGGGCACTTAGGAAGATACAAGGAATCTTCTTAAATTATCTCTTGGACAGAATTATTTAAAAAAATATTATTAGTTTTTTTCTCATTTGTAAAAAAAAATAAAGTAAAAAGTAGTTTTTAGTTACTAGGAACCCAGAATTAAATCTTTTCTGCAGCTAAGTAAATGTACTAGGGCGTCATGTAAAACGGGAGGTTTGAACAAAACAACTTTATTACAAATTCAAGCATGCTATTTTAAACCTTAAAACCCATGTCACAAAGTATAGTTTATATTGTGCATTTGCTAATAATGTAGGGAGTGTAATTCAATAAAAGCAGATGACAGTCAGATCGGAGAGATGAGGCCAATATGGTTCAAGATACGTTGTATAATGCAAACATTCTCTGCGCAATTTCGGCCAATACCTCCACCAAAATGATACTGAGTTGAATAAAAATATATTAAATATACAAATAGGCAATATAAAACTAGATACAAGGTAATGAATAATATGAAGACATTGTTTCAAAAAATATTTATTTCATCCAAGATTTTTTGCTTTGTAACCTGACTATAACTCAAACCCATTAAATAAACTTATTGGTTTCGTGGTTCAACATTTGGTTTTAACACGATTCTAAAAGGATGTTTCAGTACTTTTATAAAAACAGAAATTCGGTTTGCAGTAAAAGTAATTGTAATAAATTAGCAAATAATATTTCTTAAGATATTGCTGCATGCATAATGATAGGGTATACTGGTAGCACATTTTGAGGTTATTTTTTTTTTCGCATTAATATGCGTCCTTTCTAGATCGGCAGTCTGATGATTTGTTTATGTAGCGATCGATTTCATTTTAATATAATTATTCTTTTTTTAATAATTTAAATTTTTTTACGTATATGTATGTAGTCTTCTTGCTTGTTAGAATTGCTCGCAGATGGATACTGTTTAAAACACGAGAGGGGAAAAATACAGTAGTAAAGCGGCTGCGGCGTCGTAAAGTCGGGAATTGTCAGCGTCCCTTTGATGTTTACTGGTTAATGTCACTTTGATAGAGGGAGCGTCCCTCTGAGGGATATTATTTCGTAGTGTTTATTTAACCGAGAAATACATTGAATAAGTCCGTATCTTTTCGTAAATGTTATGGTGACAGGCGATATTTTTTTAAATACATAATTTATTTTATTTTTCTGTACTTTAATTTGTTATTAGGAATTCATTGCCATAGGTTTGTGGGTTTTAATTCTTTAAAATTAATATTATGATCACAATATATAGTCTTAGCTTGAGGTTATGAAAAAGTGCAACTAGATGGCGCTTTTTAATTCAAAGTATTTTTATTGTTATATCTGAAAACCACGTTGATTTACCATACGATAAGGGACATGAGGTTGATATTTGTATGCCAATTTATACTTTTAAAATAACTATCACCAGTTAAACTTAATAACTTAATTTGTATTATACCCGCATGCTTTATTGAAGTTCCACCCCATATCTATTTAGCTTACTTTAAATTTTTAACACGATATACGTATAAGGGTAAAATATTATTATTACTAATATAATTCTATTAAAAATTCTTATGAAATTCCATTACTTGTAGCTTAAATAAATGTTAGAAAATAATACTACGGACCAAATTAATTTCAAAATTTATTACAATTATGTTTACAAACAAAATAAATCAATTTATTTACACATTATTCATAAAGTTATTGAAACTACAAATATATAATACATTTTTATAACGAAATATAAAATTATAATAACATCTTCAAATCAATGTTAATAACAAAACGACGTAATATATAATAAATGACAGTAAACATATTATAAGAAAACAATAATAAATAAAAAATAGAATTAAAAACAAAAAAAATCTACCTATAAAATACATATAATTTTTTATCCAGAATAACTTATATTACTTAGCTATATACTTAAACATACTAAATTATTAGCTTTTATTAAGTACAATTTAAGTTATAAATTCATTATCGTGTACGAAAGCTGTATACCGTGGCGAGGAAAGACGTCATAAGTAAGGTGACAAAGCTTGTGACGTCATAATGTCGGACTGCCGCGTTGTAGAACCCGCCGTAAACTTGTAAGCCTGCCGTCTCAATACTGGAAATAATAAAAAGAATTTAATATAGAAATAAATATGGCTATAATAACCAATGAGTATAAATTAAAATTGATACAAAAATTGTTTGAAGCTGTAGACAAAATGAAAAGAAGGAATTTGAAGACTATATTCAACTACAATTTGGATTAAACATGCAAAGTTTAGTATTATCATAAAAAAATACCCTCTCGATTTTATAGACGATAATTAAATCTAATTTTGTTCATTGCCATGATATTCAGTTCAATATAATTTTCTATGTAATTGCATACGTATTCTTTATAACTTTAGAAGTTATAGAACACGAGCCAATTTTATTTTACTTAAACAATCTTCGTTAAAAAGGTATAAAGTTCGAAGTTATTCATTCAAGCTTGCCGACGTTAGTGATTAAATATGATTGTGTAAGCTCTGCGGATGTGTAATTCTGTGCGACCTCTAGCGGTGCACAGGGACAAACTCCTACGACCTTCTGAATATTCATGGATTTATCAAACTACATTATTATTATTAAATAGCTGTCGCGACTCCGTCCACGCGGAATTAAAAAGAAAACTTAATGAGTAACCTATATGTTCTTGCAGACTATGTTCTACATCTGTGATAAATTTCAGCAAGATCCGTTTAGCCGTTTCGGAGGTACCTTCCGAAACATCCATCCAGCCATCCATCTAAACATTCGCATTTATATTAATTAGTTTGAAGTAAGAATAAGAAATTTTTGATTACTTTTTAGGGTTTCGTACCTCGACAGGAAAAAACGGAACCCTTATAGGATCGCGTTGTTGTCCGTCCGTCTGTTTGTCAAGACCCGCTTTTATTTACGTTTCTTATAAGATATGTGACTCTATTCGTACCACAGATAGATTTTCATTACCTGAACTTGCAATAATCTCCATCATAGCTCCAGCCGAGGTATTCTCCCGTGCGTAAGTTCTCGCTGTGCAGCCACTCTTCAAGTGGCCGGAAGTAATCCCGCAGCGCCTCCCCGCTCAGCCGTCCCTCTCCGATGCTGTCTTGCAGAATCTGCATCCAGGGGGCGGACGAACCCCGTTCCATCAGACGCCTGATCAGGAAAAATAAATTTTAATTTTAATATAAATTTTGTGTTTTACATTTTTTAGGAACATTATTGTATTCAATCATTAGTTATTAAGAAAAAGTCCCTTAGTGCTGATTCATACTAAATTTTCCCTAAGGGTTACCACTTAATAATTTTGAGTGCAGTAGTAAAGTTGTGATTTACAGATAATATTAATGCCTGTCTGTTAGAATCAACAAAGAAATCAAGTCTTTGGTTTAAGAAGTAGATGTTGAAACATCCTGTTGTTTTAAAAATGCCAAAAAAAAAATTAACCTCAGTAATTTTTTAATATTTTGATCGTATTATTAATAGAATTGTTACGTGACATTCAAAAAATCCGAAATGTATTAATAATATTATATTAATTTCCATTACAATTTGTTGACATTAAAAATGCATGTTTCGTAACAAAACTGGACCCCCGAGTGACCCTGATTATAAAATGAGTCTGACAATGACATCGTTATTATAATTTTAATTAACAAACTAAACACTCAGGTGTTATGGTGTCAATATCTTGGTTAAGGTCAAGAATATAAGAGTTCGAACTTTAAATAAACTCTTTAATTTTCCCATTACTCTTTCTCTATTTTCTTCTCATTATTAATTATTTGAAATTGGAAAAGTCATAGAGGTCGTTCTCGTAGACAAGAACCTTCATTGTCGGTGTGTCAGTGGGTCAGGGGTTAAGGCACTTGACTTGTTATCTGTAGGTCTTAGGTTCGAATACAGTCACGTACCAATGTGTTTTTTGTTTTACATATCTTCACTTATAAAGAATTAAAAGAAATTCAAAGATATGTGTGAAATTAATCCATACTGGATCAACGTGGTTAACTATGGGTTACTCACGCCTGATTTACGACAAGCTCCGAGCCGAGATAGTGATGTCATATTGATCTTAGAAAACCTCGGTTATATCTAATTTATAAATATATGACATCATTTGTGATCGTGAATAATCTTTTGTATCATTTAACATCATCATCATCAGCTCACTATATGTCCTCACCGCGGGGCTCGGAGCCTACCCTAAGTTAGGGGTCATCATATAACATTTGACCGTTTTAAGATAATAGACGCTCACGACAAATTACTATCGAGTAAGTTGTTTAGTTAATCAAGTGATATATCCGGCAAGTTGAATGAGCTAGATACAGGCCACGGGAAAGTGGTCGAACAGGCGACGGTGATCAAGGAAGACCGCTGGCTCGATTCGATGTTCGAAT